TGCTTGGTAAGAAATGTACGCATTATCCTGCCCATGTAATTGTAACCCCTCTGTACAGTATGTTCACAAATAAAATAAAATTTAAAAAAAGAAAAAAAAAGGAAACCCATGAATATTGTTATATTTATTTTTAGAAAAATAGAGTAGTTTGTACTTTAAGTACAATTGGTGATTATTTACCAAGGCCATGAGCATTATAAGCAAGTTTATAAAAGTGCAGGCTTTCAATTGCCAATCAGATCCCTAGCAATTTATCTTTTAAATAAATTACCACAGATACAGATAGTGATTTTTTTTCCTTCTCGCCATCAAACTTCAAAGTGTATTTTCCCCTATAATTCCAAAGATTTTCTTTGCAAATTAACTAAGAATTGAGAAATTTCCGTTATAATAATTCATCAATGTATACAAGCTGTCTGAAAGTTTCTTTGATATCCAAAACTGACATACCACCTATCAGTGGTCTTTTTAAAAAATTTATTAATTTTTTTATTGTGAAAATACGGTACAGAGGGGTTACAATTACATGAGCAAGGTAATGAGTACATTTCTTATCAAGCATTGTTGCCTCCTCCTTTATTTTTCTCTTACCATCCCTGCTCTCCCATCCCCACAACTACACTCCCCCTCCCTCCCCACAGTTGGAAAGTTCAGTTTTCGACATAGCATCTTGTACATCTCATTGTTGCAATGGGTCTACCTGTATCCCTGTTTAAACAATTCATTTTTTCCCTTCCCATCCCCAAAGTATACCAACATCAAATACAGTGGTCTTTTTAAGTTAAAAAAATTCTCATTTGGGTCTCTCAAGCCTGCATCTTAGCTTATTATTTCTTCCTAGAAGCTTACCCTAACCCCCACAAATGCTAATTACACTCTCCTAAAACCTCATAAATTGGGTTTTATAGTATCAGTTTATAGTATCAGTTTAGCTGTCATCTCTTCTGGTTTGTAAATATTAGCTGGTCTGGATTAATTCAGCCTTGCTCAACCAGAATTTAACACAGTGCTAGGAATTCAGTAGTTCCTGGAAGGCCTTATTCACTCAACTTGAAGCCCTAATAGCACTTACTGCTATGGAGAACCTTTCATTTCTCCTTCTGAAGGCTCCCTTATGTCTTCTTCTCTACTACCTTCATTGCTTCTCTAGTGGCTTCTTTCCCTTTGCCTAACCATTATGCTCTTTCCCTACATTTCATCTTAGCTCATCTTCTTGGCAGCCATGGTAGGTCCTTGATTAAAATGCACTACATAAATAAATGAAACAAGGTCCTGCTTGAGACTTCCTTGGGAAATGCAAGCCATCTCTAGCTTCAGTAATTGTTAGATTAAGTCTAACTGCTTCTAAGTTTCTCAACTGGGCAACAAAGCTGTATCTCTATGAGCCCCTACTATTGATGTGTTCACAACTAACTTTGGGGTGTTCAATAGTCACATGCAAGTATCTTCTTCTCCTCCAGTGTTTTCTAAGATGTTGGCAAAGAAAATTCTTTGAAAAAATGTACATGTAACAGGGGCAAAAAGAACTGAACAGAATGTTTTGTGTTTTTTTTCATTTTGTTTTGTTTTCTTTTTTGTCAGTTGTTGGGCTTACGCTCAGGGACAGTGTCTAGGCCCTGGGCATTGACCCTGAGCTTCTTTGTGCTCAAGGCTAGGGCTCAATCACTTAAGTAGTGACAGTGCCATGTCCAGCATTTTCTGTGATTAATTGGAGATAAGAGTCTCAGCGACCTTCCTGCCTGGGCTGGCTTCAAACCTCAATCCTCAGATCTCGGCCTCCTGAGTAGCTAGGATTTTAGGCATGAGCTACCACTGCCAGACTGAACACAATATGTTTTTACACATAAGATTATTGCTACCCAGGAAGTTCATTTTTTTTAAAATAAGGGAAAATGATTATCCAGTTTTACAAATGGTTAAGGCTCTAAATTTTTGATCCAATAAACCTACTGATTCCTGGTAAACTGATCTATTTAAATGTAAACTTTCCTAGATTTACCTTAAAAGATTCTAATGTTTCTTTATATTGACAAACACCACTACCAATCACAAGAAACTGGAGAGATGACTAATCTAACAACAAGGGAGATATATATATTCCTCAACAGAAATCAGCTTTAAATGAACAAATTTTTATTTCTTGATCAGATTTTTCTTTACAAAGAATTTAAAATGTAACAAAGTATTGAAGGCTATTTTAGTAATCACTTAGCCATCTATTCTTTTTTTTTTTTTTTTGGTTGGTTGTGGGGCCTGAACTCTGGGCTTGGGCACTGTTCCTTAGCTCTTCAGCTCAAGGCTAGCACTCTACCACTTGACCCACAGTACCACCTCCGGATTTTTTCTGCTTCTGTGGTGCTGAGGAATCGAACCCAGGGCCTCATGTATTCAAAACAAACACTATACCACTGAGTCATGTTCCCAGCCCTGACATCTATTCTTAAGAAATATTTACGTATGTAAATTAAGATCTGTGATTTCAGTCTCAGTAAAATGTAACTTAATGTTTAACATTTCAATATTAAAAATGCTGATAATCCTGATTTTAAAGCTAACATGCCAGTTAAAAATTACCATATAATTTTTATAAAGTACAGCAGTGTCTCAAGATTATTACACAACAACTTATGAACCAAAGCACAAAACAGTATTTTCAAAATTTTCTTTGAAACTTTCACCCCTTATTTCTGTGTTGCAAAGCAGACTTTGTTAGTTGTTGTTACTATTATCATTATTGATTTGTGGTAATAAAAATTAAAACAGAGCCTCCCACTTATTAGGCAACATTATACCACTTGAGCACCAGTTCCAGACCTTTTTTACTTTGGTTATTTTTTTTCTTTTATCTCACATTTTTTATTTGTGCACATCAATTGTACAATGTTGAAAAAAAAAAGTCTTGGAACTGGACAGTAGTGATGATTGTCCATGATAAACATATGCAATGCAATGAAGTATGCAATTTAAAAGTCGCTCAAACCTGTAATCCTAGTTACTTGGAAAGCTAAGAATGGGAGAGTTCAGAGTTCAAGATCAGCCCACGCAAAAGAGATGGCAAGACTTCATGATGAATAATGAAAAGCACAAAACAGGTGGATCATCATCTATGCACACACATGGGTAGATAGATAGGATCCCATCCCCAAAAGCAACCAGAATGTCTTGGTTATTTTTGAGGTAGGGTCTCACTTTATGTGTAAGCTAGCCTAGGTTGTGATCCTCTTAACTACTTCTCTGTGGATGACAGATATACATCATTGCACCCAGCTATTGTGCTTCCCCTGGAAGTTGGAATAACAGACACAGGTCACCACGCCCAGCCACTGGTTGAGATGAAGTCTCAAAATTTTCTTTTGGCAGAGGTGTCCTTGTACGATGATCCCCAAACTCCATCTCCCTGGTAGTGAGGAATATAGGTTGGAACCATGTGGTGCCAGGCTTCGATTAGTTATTAAAAAAAAAATGTACATAATGGCTGGAGTATGATGTAATGGGTAATCAAACAAGCCAAGCAAGAGTGTAAGGCCACAGTTCTGGAAAACAAAACAAGACAAAAACAGCAACAACAACAACAGCACTACTTAGAAAAATACACCAAAAGCCATCAACGAAGACTGTTTTCAGAATACTTAGGTTCCTAACTCATTTAAATAACTATGCAATTTAAAAATGCCTGTTGGAATAAATTATTCAATACTACTATGTTCTAAGCAAAAATATAGGCAAATAATAGAGAACAAACAAAAAACTGTTTGTTTATTGGCATTATAGTATAATTTTAATAAAAATTAAACATAAACACAATTGTTACTCAGTCATCTATCCTGTAAAACAACATGCCAAGATCAACTTTAAAAGCTTTATCAAAATCAAAAGGTAGAAAACATCTTCCTCATTAGCTCTAAGGACTTCACATACAAATTTTAAAAAATGGTATTTAATGATAACATCAAATGCTGACTTACTGATTGAGCCATATAAAAACAAACAATTTCTGATTTTAAAAATTAAGTAGCTCCAACAAAAACAACAAAAAATGCTATTTTCGACATATACTATCTTTGTATTTTGCACAGAGTTCCAAGACAAAGGTTGTTTCTGGCTTTGTGAATTACCAGAGCCGGTGACCTGGGTGGCTGACTTGTTACAGGTCGTTTATTCTTCTTTCCTGATAGCTCCTTAGCTTCTTTGGAAGGAGGCATAGGAATAGGTTTCCATGGTATTGGATTACAGAAGGCTGGCTCTGGGTAGGAATTTCCACTGTAAAAACCTAAAGTCATTAAATGAATCAGAAAATAATCAAATAAAATCTCAAGATTGAAAAACATTCCTATTTTGAAATTCCTTAAAAAATGTTAAAATGTCTATCACTGCAAAACCAAACTACTGATTTAAAACTAGAAAACTTTTTTCAAGGCCATGATAGCTTTTCAAGTACAGTAAATACTGTAACAAATATTAAACAATAAATGGTCATTCTAAGAAACCAAATATGCCAAACTCTATATAAAGAAAAATGCTTACACAAGTTTTTACTAAGTAGTTTGTAAGTTTAGAGCCTCCTTTTTTTGGGGGGGGGAGTGGGCGGGGAGAGGCAGCAATCCTGGGGCTTGAACTCAGGGCTTGGACATTGTCCCTTAGCTCTTTCTTTCAAGGTTGGTGCTCTCTGAACCACAGCTCTACTTCCAACTTTTTTGGTAGTTAATTGGAGATAAGAGTTTCACAGACTTTTCTGCCCAGGCTGGCTTTGAACCACGATCCTCAGATCTTGTCTTCCTGAGCAGCTGGGATTATAGGCATAAGCATCTGGCACACAGCTCATTTTAGAACCATTGAATTAAAATACTTTCATTTTTTCAATTTAGTGGGAAGTTACGGGCCACTAGTTTCCTTTTCTTAGATACTGAAGTTTACAGAAAAATATATATTTTTCATATGGAGTTAAAATGAATCAAAGGTCTTGTTGAAGCACTGAAATTGTGAATTACGGTCATACAAATTAAGATTTTACAATATTACTGTAATTTTGGTTACTATTACAAAACATTCTCCTACTGATGTATATAAAGTCTTTAAAAATAGTTAATACTTGACACTTAACAGCATGAAAGAAAAACACCGTGATCATACAGATACAGAAATTCCTTTCATTTATAATTTGTATAAGTGACAAGAATTTGTAAAACTGATATGAAAATAAGGATGGGAAATATGGCATCTGTAACAAAAATATGCCTGTTAAAATTAAACTTCTTAAAAATGCAAAAAATTTTTAATATCACAATTCATTAGTTTAACAACTTCTAGTAAATAGATAAATGCCATGCAAAAGTTAAAGCTTTGCTACTTAATCATCAGGTCAAAATCACTGCTTATTACCCTTTTACTCTTTTTCTAAACAAGACACTTAAAACAAAAGGAGCAGGCCAAGCTCGGTAGCTAAAATGGATGACCTCTGTGACCTGTGAGAGGGGCCTACCCCTGACAGCAGGAATGTGTCTTTCAGACACTGGCAGTCCACGTTGACTGCATAGATATGTCAACACACACTTCACCAAGATGGTCAAAACAAAGTCTGGAATATGTTCCAGTGTGTGAACACAACAGAATGGGAGTATTTTTAATAATAAATCACTTAAACAAGTGACGGCAGCTGTCAGCAAGGTATGAGCTTCCAACATGAAGCACAAAGAAACACATGCATTGCCATTTATAATCAGACCAAGTTTACAGTCCAACTGGTTTTGTGTTTGGTCATGTGCTGTCTAGTATTCCACCCTGCAAAAAGAATGTGTCAAAGGCATTGGAAGCTGTCTTTAGAGAAGGTTAAAAGGATGAAAGGCTAAATGACTCCTTAAATATATCCTTATTAAGGTTTTATCATCCAAGAAAAGTAAGAGGTTATTTTCAGGGGATGATGGGAATTGAACCTAGGGGTTTACACATGCTTAAACCTATGCTCTACCACTGAGCTACACCTTCAATCTCAAGAATTTTATTTGGTTCCCTAATGTTAGGGATCATCTTTTTATTTGTTTTGTTTTTGTTTTCAGTGGTGCTGGGAATCAAACCCAGCCAAGGGCAAAAACAGGCAAATCTTTGGCTATACATATGCTTGGCAAGCATTCTACCACTGAGCTATATCAACAGTCCTACAAGCCATAGCTTGATAATATAAATTTGCAGTTTTCAACTTCTGCCTGTAGGAAATACATAATTTATGGAGAATGACAATAAATTTGTTGTATCTCCTTAGCAACATGGTATGTTGTTATATAATCTTCTGGAAAATAGTAGTTTAAGTGAAAAACTAATTTTTATACACTTCTATTCCTGTCAAAAAGAAACAAAATGCATAACATTATGCCTCTGCAAACCATACTTACAAAGCCACATAACATAAAAACCAACCTGTAAGTTTCCCACTGGAATAACCATAGCTCTTTGCAGCTGGACGAGGTTTATTTTTTGCATTTTCCAACCATTCCTTAAATTTTTTTTCTGCAATTTCCTTTTTCTCCTGTAATTCAGCTTGCCGTTGTTTTTCTTTTTCCTTAAAGTGACAACATCAGAAAAATTTAAGGGTTTCTGTAACATTTCATTCAAATTTCACTGACCCCTATCCAGATGCTTCCCACTCTAATGACCTTTTGGTCACAGAATTAGAGTTCTAAAATTAAATTACTTTTTTATAATTTTTATATTTTTTATTTTAATTGAATTATGTTTCTATAATTAAACCGTGAAGCATACATAACCAGGGATGTGAAATTAAGGTATCTACGGCTGAACAACAGTAACATGTCCAACTCAAGAAGAAAGCAATTTGTTATTTAAAAAGAACTATAATTTATATATAGTAATATGACTAAAATGCACCAAAAATGTATACCCCAAATGGTTTAAGCCTGAATAAAACATATAAACAGGCTTGTCAGTATTATTCAATGAAAGAAAACCACAAATTCCCATGGAACTTAAACACAGCATGATAGAAGTCAGGATAAATGCATGTTGAACACAAGATCATGGACATAAAGACAGCTCCCTCTATTTTGTGCTGAGAATACCAATTTTCTAATTATACTTTTTTTTCTACAATACAGTCGTCATTCGTAAACACCAAAGCCATATATTCTCATTAGTCACTTCAATGTAAATACCTTCTCTTTCTTCTTCTTCTCACATTCTTCAGCGTTTTTTTTCTTTAACCATTCTTGATATTTCTCTTTTGCTTTTTCTTGCAAATATTCTTTCTCCAGTTTCTTTGCTGCTTTTTCTTCCATTTCTTTATTGAGTTTTTGTTCCTTTTCTTTCCTTTTCTTAAATAAAAATAAATTGTCCTTAAAACACTTTTCATGATCCTCCCAGAAAGAAGAACTGTTATATAGTAACTTAATTATTTCTTAAAATAGGTGATACCATGTGCTTGGTACAATATACTTTATGAAACATACAACATATGTGCAATCACATATTTAATTTCCATCTCTGCTGATCCTGCTCAGCAAAGCTTACTCAAACTCTGGGACAGTGCTGAGCAAACCGCAGGTGCTCAATAAAGATTTGTTGAATAAATTAATGGATACAAATTCCAACCTATTTGACTGTCCTTAATCTTAACATTTTATAATGAATGATAACCCTTACTCTAAATATGAGTCATCTCTCTATAAATTTCCTGGACAAACTGCCAACCTAAACACTTAGAAATAGATAAAAAAAAAATTGGAATTAACCCTGGGGAAAAAAAAAAAAAAAAATTTGTATTTACCCTTGGTGAAATGAATGACACCTATTTAATACTGTAAGGGCAAAAACAGGCAAATCTTTGGCTACACAGAAAGATCAGGCATTCACAAATGAAGACCCAGAAGTCAAATCTTGTCTGCCAACTATGTATATTTATAAGTAACATTTTACAGAAATATAGACACATCCATTTATTTACACATTTATTGTTAATGGCCGTTTTTGCATCCTAAGAGCAAAGTTGAAGATTTCCCTTGTATGGCTAGAAAAGCCTAAAATATTTCCTATTTGGAGTTAAATTTCTTTTCTACACTCCTCTGGAGACAGGATCTTGCTATGTAGCCCAAGCTGGTCTTGAATTGCTATTGGAGTTCAAGCTCCAGCAAGAATAAGAAAAAGAGATATAGAAATAGTCCCAAATATTATGGACTTAAATGTGTTGTCCCCTTCCCCTTTCCCATGTTGAAGTCACAACTCCCAGTGTGACTATATTTGGAGACAGACCCTGCAAGAGGTAATTAAGTTTCAATGAAGTCACTAGGGTGGAACCTAAATCTAACAGTCCTGGCATCCTTACGAGTAAAAAACATCAGGGATATGAGTGTGTGTGTGTGTGTGTGTGTGTGTGTGTGTGTGTACAGAGAAAAAAAAACATACGAGGAGACAGAATGACAGCCATTTGCAAGAGAAGAAGAGGCCAAAGGGCAATCAAACTGCACACACCTTCATCTGGATCTCCAGTCTGCAGATCTGTGAGAAAATAAATTTCTCTAGTTTAAATCACCCAGGCTATGCTATTTTGTTATGTCAGCACTGAAGGACTAACAAAATTAACTGAAATGCTAAACACCATCAGATATCAGAGAACTTGGAAACAAGAACACCGACACTCAGCTACAATCTCTGTAGGACTTAGAAGCAAAGAGCCTATGAAGTAGATGGCAAAAAAAAAAATGCAGATTACAACTTTCATATAATAGTAATGGAATGTAAAATGGTATGAACATTTAGCAGTTTGAAAACTTTTCATCAAGATAAACATATACTTATCATATAGTTAGCAATTTATTTCTAGGTATTTGCCAGGGCAAATGAAAACAACTGTTTACTTATATGTAAGTGGTCCTAGAATTTTATTCATAATGTCCCCAAACTGAAAACAACTCAAATGTCTACCAGCTAGTAAATGGACTGCACAATCCTACTCAACAATAAAAAGTAAATCAATGACATATGAAATAAATTTAAAAACAAAAGAAGATCAATAGTATATACTCATCATTTCATGTGTATGAAATTCTAAAAGAGGCAAATCTAATCTACAAACTAAAAAGGCTACTGGCTACCTTGGAGCTGGGGCTAGCTAGAAGGACCCAGGGGACAGTTTTGGGATGATGAACTTATTTATTTCAAATAAGTGTATTCTGTGGTATTCAAATTTTAACTCAACTGAAAAAAAGAAAAACTAAAATATCAGGAAGCAGGACAAGGGAAGGGAGGGGGGGAATCTGACCAAATACATTTTCGAATATCACAAGAAATCCAGGACTTCATAAAATATGTGCTAATAAAAGTGAGTATAGAGCTACTTTTTTAAAAATCAGTCTTTTTGTAGGATTAAAATTAAAGAAGGGAGAATCAAATGCCTACCTCAGCTAAAGGAGAGCAGGATATTCAAGAGACATTGCTACCAGGAGAGAGAGAGTAGCTGGCCATTAAGTGCCTTCAGATTTTCCAGCACACTGGTTCTACACTACACACAGCACCATAAATCTTCCTATTTTTAAGATGGTGCCCTGAGAGAACCTTTGTTTCTCGCACTAAAGGAAATGAACAACTAGGTGCTTAAGTTTCTATTTTGGCTTCCCTAATAGTACTTGCTTGGCACACAGAAAAAGCTGAGTAAACATTTGTTGATAGCTTAAGTGATACACTGATAATCGTGGCATCAATCAGACACTATGTTGGTCTGCATTAGCATTTTACATAAAAATGTTATGTTTTGAGATTCAAAACCAAGTTTAGGTAACTTTAAACCACTGAAAATAAAAAGCCTTCTTGCAGCATATATATATATATATATATCTCAACATATATATATAAATATATATTTATATATATATATATCAACATCATGAAAACTAATGTAGAAAATAAATTAGAATAGCAACACAAATGTAAAAGTACCAGGAGAGATTAGTCATTTTACTTTAAAAGGATTTAACAATTTACAGTCATTAGAAGCTAGCTTTGCTAATGGCTACACAAATTCTTTTGGGTGATTTTTTTTTTGATAGAACACAGTGAAAATGACAGAGAAAATAACAGCCTCAGATATAGTTGAACTGTGAATGAGGCTGGAGGCAGCAGAGGACCACACACCATGAAATGTAAACAGAGGAGAAAAAAAAAAGAAAAAAAAATGAGATGCCAGACAGGAAGAGAAGAACCAGGAGAGTAGTCTTTCCAAATGGAGGTTAATGTAGTCAAGGTTGTAAGAAATCTGATAGCTTTAAAGAAAACACACACACACACACACACACACACACACAAAACACAAAGTAATCAATTATTCATTAACAGGCAAGAATGTTTTCCAAGTTTAATTTTTCAGGGTTCATTATTGAACCATTTCCAACTTTCTGAAATACTCTCTTCAATAATTAGTGATTTATGTCAGGACAAACCACTTTGCCCCCCCCCAAAAAAAAGATTTTCCCCTTTCAATTGGGTTAGATGTACTGACACTAATTAAAGTAACAAATATGTCATGGATTGTTCAGCAGTATCTTATGTACTTAACAACTGTGTGAGATTGGCATGTCAAAATTAGCTTAATGGAGTTAGAAGATAAGAGAGACTTTTAGAAGAGAGAGCACAGTATTCCTCACATATAAAACTATTTTGATTTAGTTATAAACTTCAAAAAATATCGCCCAATTTTGAAATATTCCCAACAGAATAATTTTGATTTTCACATTTATTCACAGTAAAATCTTTCTTGTTATGTAAGATAAAGCAAAGGAACAAAACCACAATTGACTTCTAAAGTAAGGAAGAAATACTTCAATTAAAGCAATATCATTCTAAGCATACATAACCATGATAGAAAACTAACAACAGATCAAGCATTTTAAAAATCCATCTGTTTTTTGTGTGGATATCCAAGTGAAGACCTCCCACACACGCAGGTAAGTACTCCACCCCTGAGCTACATCCCTAGTCCTAGCATTAAAGAAAAATTTCTAATCCCTAAGCCAACACAACAGCATATTAAAATTTAAAGTAAGAGCTTAGTGTATAGTTCAGTGGTAGAGCACTTGGCTAGCATGTATGCATAAGGTTCTGAATTTTTTCCTCAATTCCAAAGAAAAAGAAATAAAAGGAAATGAATTCATTTATTCAATTAATAAATTTTACTATATACAAAGTATTATGTTAAATCTTTTAATAGATAAAAATATCACAGATGAAAATAATTTCTGTTCTCAAGGATTTTAAAGTCACAAGGAAGTAAAGGCATATACACAATAAAAAACAGAAAAACTTACACTCTACAGGGCAGTGCAAAATAAAGTGCCATCAAAATGATATAATCTAAATATTCAAAGACTCTTTAACATATGACTACTTCACGTAGGAAATGATTAGAGTTGGATGAAAAAGGGAAAAGCATAGTAAAGGACATGAAATACTATCCTGAAGAAATGTCATATATATACTATGTGATTTTTTTTGTTTCTTTTGTATGTTCTTCCCCCTATGGTATATCCCCTGTTGTCACTGTATTTGATTTCGGTATACTGGCATTGTATATATGTTTATTTGAATTAGGGAAGGGAAGGGGAACAACAGAATATTGAGACAAAAGACAAGGAGGGAACCAATGTAACAGCGATATGCACAGAACAATATGTTGGAAATGACCTGTACAACTTAGGGGGGTTAGGGGAAGGAAAGTAGGGAAAAATTGAGGGAAGGGGTAACAAGTTTGACAAGTTATGTACTTATTATTTTACTTATGTAACTGTAACCCCTCTGTACATCACCTTGACAATAAAAACAAGAAATGTCATATATATAAATGTAAACAGATGAGTAGGGCACTAGTGGATCACCTTATAATCCTACCTACTCAGGAGGCTGAGATCTGAGAATGTTGGTTTGAAATCAGCTCAGGAAGACAAATTGAAAAGACCTACTTACCAGAAAAAAAAAAAAAAAAACAGGGACTAGCAGAGGACTAGCTATAAATGAAAAGGCTGAGAAACACTGTATAAAAAAAGAAGTGGTGTCACTGAGCACCAATGGCTCACGCCTGTCATCCTGGCTATTCAGGAGGCTGAGATCTGAGGAATGTAGTTCAAAGACAGCCTGGGCAGGAAAAGTCCGTGAGACTCTTACCTCCAATAAACCAGTAGAAAACTGGTAGTGGTGCTGTGGCTCAAGCAGCAGAATGCTTGCCTTGAGCTGAAGAGCTGAGGGACAGTACCCAGGCCCAGAGTTCAAGCCCCACAACCAACAACAACAACAAAAAAAGAGGTGGGAGAACAAGAAAGAGTGTGAAAGGACTGAAGGGACAAGGTCTCAAAAATCCCTTAAGAATACATATTCCTGGGCTGGGAAGGTGGCTCAGTGGTAGAGCGCTTGCCTTGCATGCCTGAGGCTTTGGGTTCAATTCCTCAACACCACATAAGCAAAAAGAAAAAAGCCGTAAGTGGCACTGTGGCTCAAGTGGTAGGGTGCTAGCCTTGAGCTGAAGAGCTAAGGGACTGCGCCCAGGCCCAGAGTTCAGGCCCCACGACCAGAACCAAAAAAAAAAAAAAGAATACATATTCCTGCAGACTTTAAAGTATATTTCAAAGCTTAAGATTTCTAGGAATTTTTTTTTTTTAGGAGCAATGAGAAGGTTGGTTTTTTGGAAAAGGAAATATTTAGGAATCATGAAAGGATTCTTATGCCTAGGTGACTAAGGAGACAGAACTAATGAAAGCAACAGACCTTAGAAAGAAGTTTCTAGCTTCTAAAGAATAAAATGAAGGATAAAAATGGAAAAAAATAGGTTGTTTTAGATATACAAGTTTAGAGGTACCTGCCAGTTATGGATAAAAGTTGAGGTTTAAGTGATATTAAAGTTAGTGTCTATAGAGGCCCATGACTAGTGGAAGGCACAGGAAGAAAAAAAATGAATAAAAACAGAGGGTAGAAGTCAGAAGATAAAAACTCGGTAAAAGTCCGTGAGGGTAAGGAAATAATAAAAAGAGCAAGGAAGACAGAATTTAAGAGAACCAAAAAGAGCAAAAAACCTAGGTAATGAAAAGATGAGAAGACAATATTAACATGTGCTTGTACATTTTTTATCTTTACCTGTTTATTCTTTTTCTGAACCCATTCCTTGTGCTTTTCTTCAGCAATTATCTTTCTTTTTTCACGTTCTTCCATTTCTTTTCTTTTTGCTAGTTTTTCATTCAATTCCTGTGGATTTTATTGAAACAAAAGGTAACCTTTAGTAGAAATATGCAAATCACATTTTTAAAAAGGCTGAGATTAAAGGAGAATGTAGTTTTCTTCCTAGAATACATAGTATTTGTGACAATTACTTATTTAAAACTAGCCCATGATGAAAGAAAGCATTGGTTAAAAAGCATAAGTCATTTTTTAGAAATGCAAATAATTGCTTGGCAGCAAAACACTAGTTTCTTAGACTAAACTTCAGCTAAATTGCCCTCATTGAAATCAACTTTCCCACACATAAATTTTGGCATCCCTATAAGCTACTGGCAGTAACTCAAGACAACTGCATTTTTTTTTACAGTTAGAAAAAATTTTAGATTTTTAATGAAGATGAAGGAAAGAGTAGGACTTAAAAATTCCTAACTTAAATTTTTAATTCAGAGTTACACCAAAGAAGTAATGCAAGAAACTATTCTACTTTAGAGAAAAAAAGGAATCTGGAATTTTCTTCACTAATTTCATAGCTGCTGGGGTGTAAAACAAAACCACATTCATATCCTAGATTATTTAACTGCCTTGCTGTCACTGGAATCTACACGTCTGGGCATTTCTTCAAGAGAAGGAATGTGGAAGGTATAGCCAAATAAAACTACAAGCTCAATGCCACCACTCTGTCACTCATCAGCTAAATTACCACATTGAGAAAGCTGTTCAAACTAGACTTCTTTAGGATACTGCAACTGTAATTACTGATTCTTTTTCTTTTCTCTCCTTAGATACTAGTAATCAGATACTTTTTTACATATCTTCCATTGGTCTCTTCTCTTCCTCATTCTTCCCTTTCCAAAAGACCTATCTATCTGCACATTAGTGGTAGTAAGGACAACTTTCCAAGTTGCAGACCAATTGCAGTGACTTAAATGAAGATAAAATGCTAAGAGCATACTTCTTTGTGGGGGCCTGAACTCTGGGCCTGGGTGCTGTCCCTCAGCTCTTCAGCTCAAGGCTAGCTCTCCACCACCTGAGCCACAGCGCCACTTCTGGCTTTTTCTGCTTATGTGGTGCTGAGGAACTGAACCCAGGGCCTCATGCATGCAAGGCAAGCACTCTGCCACTGAGCCACCTTCCCAGCCCCAAAAGCATACTTTTTGCATGTTAGAATGACTGCTCCCAGGATACTTGTCTGTTTTCCATGACTTCTCATCCTAAAATTTCAGTGCATAAAAAATAACTTCACTCACTCAGAAAGCTTTCCAACTTTCAACACTATATGATTTAAAATTCTTCATTAATCTATGGGGTACTCCTTGATTACTTGCTCAAAATTATAGAATATCTACTATAATTCCTATTAATTAGATAGATAGATGACAGATATAAGAAGTCCTAGAAGTCTCCAATTTTATCTCATCCTCTATACAGCAAAATGCTAGATTGTGAGTTGTGTATACAAACAGGAGATCAGTGAAATGAAGGGAAGGCAAAGATACGGAGAAACAGAATGGACTAAGGTAGGCAGTAACAGTCCTCTTTCTTAAAATATTGAAGAAATGGCATTCCAAGAAGGGAGAGATTACAGGGGAGGGAGTTAGAAACCTAAAGTGTGGTGTTAATTTTCTCTTTTGATAAAAGTGTTTTGAGACAGACTGAACAAATTAAACACTATGAAGCAAAACTATATGCAAAAGGGCTGATACAGAGCTCCTGATGACAAAGGTTAAAGATTGTGTTGGAAGGGATGAAAACTACTCTGAGAGTAATTAGGAAGTCACCAAAGTACATGTTATAGAGAAGTGTCTCAGTTGTGTCAGAAAATAAGAAAAAATATGCACATGTGTGTGTTACATAAGTATATGGATGTGTATATATGCATGTATAGTTAAAAGCATAAAATATATACATATTTATAGATATATAGTTCAAAATATTCCCCAGTCCTAAATATTATGAAAAGCTTAAATGAACAATTGGACATCACTAATTTTATTTATGTACCATTGAAAAGTCCATGCAACTCAAGAACCAGGAGGTAAAATCTGATCTTTAATTCCTATTTTATGGTTTCCAAATTTTGTTAATGTTAATATACAATTTTTTTGGTAAAGTCTACAAGCATCTAGAAAATGCTACCATTAACCTAAATAACGCTCTAATAGCAGGATGTCTATTCAAGCAATTTACCCACTCAGAATATAACTCATATTATCTTTCTTAAAATTTTTTTATCTTTAATAACTCCATCTGTTCACCACAAACACAGGTTTCTTTCAGGACACTCCAGCAGAAATGCTCTCTCAAAAAAGACACTTACTCAATCTTCTGCTATACTACTGAATTTTAACAGTATTATAGCTGTTTCCCCATAGAGTAAACAACGGTTAAAAAAAATTAAAATCTAACATGCATTTAAGATTTCAATATATCATGACTTTTTTACTATGCAAGGTAATAATAAAAAAAATTAGGGGGCTGGGAAGGTGGCTCAGTGGTAGAGTGCTTACCTCGCCTGCATGAGGCCCTGGGTTTGATTCCTCAGCACCATATAACAGAAAAGGCTGGAAGTGGCACTATGGCTCAAGTGGTAGAGAATTAGCCTTGAGCTGAAGAGCTCAGGGTCAGTGCCCAGGCCTAGAGTTCAAGCCCCACAAATGACAAATAAATAATAAAATCGTTTTAAGTTTTGCCAACTCTATATAGCCTATATTCCTTCATTAAGGACTGATGAGTTAAGGAGGCAAGGAAGAAAAGAAACAGGTAATTTTTCTAACTTTGAGGAAATAATATCAAAATGTTAAAAAATTAGAACAAGTCAAAGATGAGAGAATTCAGGTCAGCTAGCTAAAGAATTATTTGTAAATGAAAATAAAATTTGTATAACCTACAAAATCAATATATTTCAGATAATGTTCATGTTTACCATATTTATTATCTCAAAAAACCTTACAAATATATGAGCTTTTACAAGTGGGTAATTTTAATAAGTTAAAATAATTTTCAAATTCAATCTCACAAATATGTTTGCAACAAATCTACATATTACTGAAACCAAGTTGCTGAGTTGGGATGATCTTTTTAATGACCGACCTAATCTAGACTTTCCTTTAAATTTTAAAGGAAGAAAATATGGATATCAGTGTAAGTTTAGGTGTGGTGGTGTATACCTAAAATCCCAGCTCTTGGGAGGGAGACTGAGGCAGGAAAACCTCAAGTTGGAGGCCATCCTGGGCTATCAAGTTCCAGGCAGCACAAACAAATAAATACCAAGTCAGAGATGTTTATCTCTTTTTTAAAAAAAAATATAGATATATTTATTGTAAAGATACTGTACAGAGGGGTTACAGTTACATGAGTAAGGTAATGAGTACATTTCCTATGAGGCATTGTTACATGCTCCTTTGTTTTACTCCTATGTAAAATACATCTTGATATAGTGGGAAAAGCACTTGGGTTGCAGATCAAAAGTACTAGAATCCAGCTCTACTAGAACTAACTGAAACCTTGGCAGATACTTGTCTGTCCTTCACTTTAGCAGGTATCTGTTTCTTATGGGTAAGATTTTGTACCTCTAATGTTAGTACCTCTGTTATTTGTAAATACAGTAAAACATAGTCAATAAGAACAAAAATAAAGCAAGCATGACAGGAAATAATGAGAAAGGCATAAGAAGAAAGTAAAGACTATAGTAATACAAAATAAGCTGACATAAATTTATCTTACAACATTTTGGCATAATATGTAAAATTCACATGAAAATATCTTACTTTCTTCAGGGTTATATAACAAGGTAACCAAAACAAATAATTATACCCTGTTCTATGCTTAATCACTGTGGAATGGGACTTTATATTCATTATTTTAGCCTGTCCTCCAAACAAATCATATTAGTTATCTCCTCTCATACAAAATAATATGCATTGAATGCTTTCTACATAGGAGGCCAAATCCTGATCTGCATTTAATCCTTATACTAACACTAAGAAGTAAATATCATTTTTTTACCTTTTACTGATAAAGATACTGAGGCACAGAAGTTAAGGATTTGCCCAAAGCCTGTTTTGAATGCAGAAGTGCAGCTGAAGAATTTACACTTTGAACCCCTCTAGTATTCCTCCTCTTAAGAGTTGACTTATAAAGAACTAAAGAGGGCCAAGATCACAGAGTTAAAATTTCAGCCTGGGCTGGTCGCCAGTGGCTCATGTCTGTAATCCTAGCTACTGAGGAAGCTAAGATCTAAGGATCACAGTTTGAAGGCACAGTCTGGGCAGAAAAATCTGAGACTTTTATCTCAATTTGCCATCAAAAAGCCAGAAGTAGGGATGTGGCTCAAGTGGTAAAGTGCCAGTCTTCAGCAAAAAAGCTAAGAGACAGAGCATCAGTTCAAGCCCCAGTATCAGCACATACACACAAAAAAATAAAGAAATAAAAATAAAAATAAATAAAATAAAATTCAGCCTTTTTCTGGGTGACTACACAGCCCAAGCTTTCTCATTTTTCTACAGTTTAATGTAGACTTGAAGTGACTCTCTTTTCCTTAATGTTAACAAGGGACTTTCAGGGAGAAAGTAATCTGTTTACCACTACTTTGCTAGGTCTAGGTTTTCCTTTTTTTATATACTTTTTTATTATAAAAATACTGTACAGAGGGGTTACAGTTACATGAGCAAGGTAATGAGTACATTTCCTATCAAGCACTGTTACCTCCTCCTTTGTTTTTCTCTTACCATCCCTTCCCTCCCACCTCCACAACTACACCCCCCCACAAATTGTAAAATTCGTTTTTCAACATAGTGTCTTGTGCATCTCATTGTTACAATGGGTTAACCTGTATCCCTTTTTAAGCATTTTGTTTTTTCCCTTCCCCTCCCCAAATTAGAAAAATATATATACAAGATGCAGGGCACCGACATCAAATACAGTGAAAACAGGCAATATACCATGGGGGAGGAACATACAAAGAAACCAAAAATCACATGGTACATTATAATATGTTAGAAAGAAAAAAATCACTTGTGTCCCTATCTTGGGGTTCATTTCGCTTAACATCATCTTATCTGGTCATATGTACATAGCTTTTGACCTTTTCTGCTTGTCCCAGACATATACTAGTTATTGCAAATAAGGGAAATCATGGGACCTATGTTTCTTTGGGCCTGGCTTACTTCACTTCATATAATTTAAATGGAAAGACTTGGAAAAGGTTTTCCTTTTCTGAAATAAAAAAGAGGTTGTATCTTTGAGGATTTGTTATTGGGGGATTTAATTTTTTTGAGTTCCACGTATATTTTAGATATGAGACCCTTGTCTGTTATGTGGCTACTGCAGATCTTCTACCAATCTGTGGGCTTTCCATTGATCTTGCTAGCTATGATCTTGCTTGCTTTGCCATGCAGAAGCTCTGCATTTTCAAACAACTGCCCAATAAATAAGTGGGCTAAAGACTTACAGAGAAACTTCCCTGAAGAGGAAAGAAGGATGGCCAACAGACACATGAAGAAATGCTCAACATCCCTAGCCATAAAAGAACATTGAGATACCACCTCATCTCAGTTAGAATGGCTAAAATCAAGAACTCTAATAACAACAGATGCTGGAGGGGATGTGGACAGAAGGGAACCTTACTGCATTGTTGGTGGGAGTGTAAACTTGTTTAACGACTTTGGATAGTAGTAGGGAGGTTCCTCAAAAGACTCCACATAGGGCTCCACTGTGACCCAGCAATCCCACTTTGGGGCATTTACCCAAATGATCACAAACAAGACCATACTAAAGCTACCAGCACAACTATGTTTATTGCAGCATTATTTACCATAGCTAAGATATGGAACCAACCCAGATGTCCCTCAGTAGATGAATGGATCAAGAAAATGTGGTATACATACACAATGGAATTCTATGCCTCCATCAGAAAGAATGACATTGCCCCATTTGTTAGGAAATGGAAAGACTTAGAAAAAATTATATTAAATGAAGTAAGCCAGGCCCAAAGAAACATAGGTCCCATAGTTTTCCTAATTTGCAATTACTAGTATATGTCTGAGACAAGCAGAAAAGGTCAGATAAGTTGATGTTAGGCAAAATGAACCCCAAGATCAGGACTCAGATGGTTTTTCTTTCTTGCTATTGTTTCTAGCGTATTTATAAGATGATTTCTTTGTTGCTTTGTATGTCCCTCCCCCACGGTATAACCCCTGTTTTCACTGTATTTGATGTTGGTATAATTTGGGGAGGGGAAGGGAAAAAAACAAATCGTTTAAATAGGGAAACAGGTGGACCCATTGCAACAATGAGATGTACAAGATGTTATGTCGAAAAATGAACTTTACAAATTTGGCGCGGGAGTGGGGGGGATGGGAAGGAATGGTAAGGGGAAACAAAGGAAGAGGCAACAATGCTTGATAAGAAATATACTCATTACCTTGCTCATGTAATTGTAACCCCTCTGTATGGTATTTTCACAATAAAAAATTAAAAAATAAAATAAGGGGTTGTAACTAGTCCTCAACTAAAAGTAGAATACCAGGTTTTGTACAGAATTATCATATATGTATGATATATAAATATATATGAAATGCACATATGATATTAAGGTATCAAATATGTATGTGTGTGTGTGTGTGTGTGTGTGTGTGTATATATACACACACACACACACACACACACACACACACATATATATATGGGCTATATATGTTATTCCTGCTACATTTGCCCAATTCCTGGTTGCTTTAGCTCCAAGACCAATCTTAACCAAAAAATTTTCTCAGCAATGTAGCAATTTTGCCTCTACAATCTAGAAACATTTACTCATTGTATATGTAATATTAAAAAAATAAATTTCTCACTGTGAGCACCTAATACTAGAGCTAGGTATATAGCTCCATGGTGAAGCTTTGCAGAGGGCCTTAGATTTTTATTCTAAAATTTGCTGTTTTGGGAAAAAATATAAAGAAATAAAGCTGCTATCAAATTAAACAATGAAATTAGTAATGTTAAAAGTGTTAGCTAAGAGCCACAAAAATATGTATTAATTCTGAAAATAAATGAAAAAACTTTAAGACTATGAATAGCTATAAATAACAATACCAACAAAAAGAAAATCATCTCTATATTTTGTTTCTTTTAATCCCCACAAAAAATCCTTAAGTATTATTTTTACTGTCTTACACAGAGAAATTAAAGTATGAAAGTTTAAATAATTTGGCTAAAATCACCCAACAAGTAACAGGCTGCACAAATCTAGGCTTTTTTATTAAGTCTGCCCAACAGCTAATCACAGGCCCTACTAAGAGGAAATAAGTGCTACTTTCTCAATATACTTTCCCAGGAAAATGGTATTCTAGAAGCACAAAGTATCATATAGTAGGGAAAGAGCAGAATTTATTAGTTTCTACAATCAGTTGAGCTATTCCAACTCTCCTGGAAATGTTGACTGCATACCTAGTTAGAAACTTATCACAGAAATAACAGATTCAAAACTGCTATGAAAAATGTATTTTAAGGGAAATCATAAAGGGAAAAGTTTTAGTTCTTATGATTTTTATGATAACATGGTAACTAAGGCTAGAATAAACACAAATAAACAGTTATATTTTAATATACATTGAATACATTCTGAATATACTTTAATGTATCAGACTGCCATTTTAAAATGATGTTAAAATATTTAATAAGGATGTAGGCTCAGTGGTAGAGCACTTGCTTAGTATGTTCAATACCTATGGTTTGATTCCTAAAGCCACCAACATTTTTTTTAATACAGAAAGTTATAAATAATGTGACAGTCAGAAAAAAAAGGAGTTATAAGAGTTTGATCCTAAAAAGTATCCTTCACCATGCAATCTACTTTATGTATGATTAAGACATAATGAATAATGAATTTAAGGGGTTCCAAATTATACAAACCTAATTGGTTGCTGGTAGATTCTCAATGGCAAACCGAAACAGTTGAGGAAATAAAAGATTTTTGTGTAACTATGAACAATTAAAGCCCAAAAAGAGAAACAGCAACATAGGAATGTCCTTACACCGGCAAAAAGGAAGGCAAGCGGTGGGGATCTGGCTTAGTGGTTGAGCTACTTGCCTAACATGCATGAAGCTGTGCATTCGATTTCTCAGTACCCCATAAACAGAAAAAGCTGGAAATGGTGCTGTGGCTCAAGTGGTAGAACGCTAGCCTTGAGCAAAAGAAACTCAGGGACAGTGGCCAGAGGGAAGGCAGAAACTGAAACACCTGGAAAGACCATAAATTTCACCCCAGCACACATGATAGCATACGCTCTTTGCAATATGGAGGATTATATTCTCAACTCCATTTCAATTTTTGTCTTTTTCAACAAACTGAGTATATAGTTACATTTACATTACAAAAAATACATATGAAAAAGTTCCACTGCATGGGTCTGAATAGAGGCATTTGCATATACTGTCTGCCTCTATCCATGGGCTCCACATCTGTGGATTCAAACACGCATAAATGGAAAATATTCAGGGGAAAAAGACTGTGCCTGTACTGAACATGAACACATTTTCTTCCTTGCATTGTTCTCTAAACAATACAGCATGACAACCATTTACATAGTATTTACATTGTATTAGGTAATATAAGCAATCTGGAGATGATTTAAAGCATGTGGAAAGATGTTCCTATGTTATATGTAAATGTTATGACATTTCACACAAGGGACTAAGCATCTGTAGGGTTTGGTATCCACAAATGTCCTGGAACTAATCTTTTACAGATACTTATGGGTTAACTAGATTTTTTTTAAAAAATAAAAGAAAATCTGGAAGGCTATATGCCATAATATTAACAACAATGGTTATCTTTAGGTGGAGAATTAGAAATATTTTCTTTTTCTTAATTATCATTAGCTTTATTTCCAAGGGCTCTTCTAATGAACACATCTTATTTCTCTAAGATTAAAATTAATTTAGTACACTAACACAAATGTACAATCATTGGTTTCAGAGACAATGAACATTTTAACTTAGAACAGCAGCTTAACTCTGAGAGCTCCGGATTAAATAAAAAGAACACTGTCTAGTTTTACCTCTAAAGCTTTCTGCTGCAGCCGGTCACGTTCTTCTTTTTCTTTGCCAACAAACCAAACCTCCCATGGTGTCAGTCTGCTTTCTGGTAAGTGCACCTGTTTCTGCTCTTCTCGGTTATCTTCTGATTTAACTTCACTGCTATGAAACATAGAATAAGATAGCACTTACACACAAACCTCTTTTCTTACTAGTTAAAATTACTTCCCTGTACAATGAAAGCAAAAGTTAATAGTGTACTTACGATACTATAATTGTTTCTTTGATGGTTATTTTAGTATCTTTAAGTGGTTGTTCAAAATGTCAGTTTAGAGTGGAATTCTTGATCAATATCACTCCTTTCATTGTTCTCCCCTAATAGGATATGTGTTGAATATTATGATTGAATTCGAATTCTCTTCCTCTCTGTTCTCTCTCTCATAGGATATGTGTTGAATATTATGATTGAATTCGAATTCTCTTCCTCTATTCATTCATCTTCTCTTCTCACTGATCTACTGCCACCCACCCTACTCAATAAACATTTTAGTTAGACTCTTAAAGTTAGCTGTTTCATTTTTTGAATTTCTTCCCTGCATATATCATACTTCAGTTAATATTTGCATACTTCAGATATACTGACTCTGAACTAATATATACATATTATATATAAGCATCATATAAAAATCATGGAAAGGGTTGGGCATTTGTGGCTCTTGTAATCCTAGCTACCCAGGATGCTGAGATCTGAGAATCAGAATTCAAAAGCCAGGCAGGAAAGGCTGGAAGACTCTTACCTTCAATTAAACACCAAAATGAAAAAAGAAAAAGAAAAAGAAAATCTTTTTGTACTCAAGTGGTAGAGCACTAGCCTTTAGCACAAAAAGCTCAGGGGCAGTGGGCAGACCCCAAGTTCAAGTTCAATCCCCAGGAACAACATGTATGCACACAATGTATGCGCATGTGTGTGTGTGTGTGTGCGCGCGCATGGTAAGGAAGTTTTCTAATACATGGGTTTGAACTCCAGACTCTAGTCACTTTAGCCAAATCCCCTGCTCTTTGCCTTCACTTTCTGAAACCACAGTTAAGAGTTCATTGGAGCTTAGGGACAAAGTGGGTACCTAGCATGTGCAAGGTCCTAGATTCAATTCTGAGCAAAGATAATCTATTAGAATAGAGCAAACCCAATTTATTTGCCTTAATACTAAAGGAGGTAATCTCTACTTCTAAAACTACTATGTGAATCAACTAATTACATGATTACATAATCCTAATCAGATCCTGGGTGCAAACTTTTCCCTTTCTCTTAAAATAGTACAGGAAAAAATAATACACACACACACACACACACACACACACATACAGAATGATACATATATATACAGAATGATAAAGTATATGTGTTAACAATTAGGGCTTATGAGTGAAGGATGAACAGATGTTTTTAATATTCTCCTTTTTACTTTTCTGTAAGTTTGAAATTGTTTTGAAATAAAAAGCCACAAGAAAAAATAGCCCTTCTCTTGTTTGTTTTGTTTTTGGTGCTAGGAATAAAACTTAGACCGTAAGCCTGCTAACTGGAGCTCTGCCACTGAACTACACTCCAGCAACTATGGCCTTATTGTGGTTGATTCCTTTTGGCCAATTTTTTTTTTAATTGTGAAAATACCATACAGAGGGGTTACAATTACATGAGCAAGGTAATGAGTATATTTCTTATCAAGCATTGTTGCTTCCTCCTTTGTTTCCCCACTTCCTATCATAGGCTCCATATCTACATATCTTCTATAAGTCTTCTATCTTTTAGCAGGAAAAAAAAAAACACCAAGCTACATGAGCAAATAAAGAACACTGGACATAAAGACCTTATAAAACTTAGTAAAGACTTAACAATTAGAATCCAAGGAAGACCTTAGCACAAAAAGCTCTGGGACAGTGTTGTGTGTTTAACATGGCTCCTAGCAAACAAGTTGCTTTACAAACTGCTCTGCACAATGTTTTCCTACCTCATAAATCAAGTATTTTCTGCTGTTATTCATTCATTCATGCCATTATGGAATTTGTATTCTTACTGGGAAAGATCCAGTTGATATATTATTTCATTCTTACAAAATAACCTTATCTGTTCCCACAGCTTCAATTATCAGTATAAGCTGATGATGTCCATATCAATTCCAGGCCAGACTTTCAACTTAAATTCTAATCTACCTCCAACCACTTGATAGATCTACTCAATATCAAAAATAGTTCAAAAACTGATCAAATTATCTTCTAGTATTTATCCTCTACCAAGAAAAAGTTTATTTCTCTTATAATCCTTAGTGAAAGGTACACTACCATTTATCCAGGAACCCAACTCTACCTGCTTTCCTTCCCCCATCCTTTAACCCTATCATCCATACAATCACTTCCTGTCAATTACACTACTTAAGATTTCCCAAGACATTTTCTCAAACTTAGTCTGTGAGTAGAAATGGTCTTTCTCCCTTCCATTCAAACAATTCTAAACACCTTTTTGCCACATTCATCTCTCAAAAGATGCATCTTTCTACCATTCTACTCTCATCTCAAAAATTTTCAGTAGTTCCTTTGTCTAAATCCATTAACTGACCTCTTCCTATCCTCTAGCCAATTCTTTCCTCAATGGCTATGCCAGGATACTATGTCCTAAAACTCACAAATTCCTTTACTCTTCTGTCACTTGTGGCCAGTTAACAGCAATTTGATTGGGGGGGGGGGCGCGACAGGAATCACTACCTGTTTTCCTAGGTGTTTACATTTTTAAACCTCTTTAAAGCCTCTATTTTCTTACTTGAAAAATGGAGATGCCAGTAGTAGTTACCACACAATAGTACTGTGTGAATCAATGTATGCTAAGTACTCAGTATACATAGTAGTTTTGGATACTCAATAAGCACTTGTTCTGCATTACTACTACTATTACTACTACTACTATCATTAATTCCTACTCTTACTCTAAGATTTTTTTTTTTTAAAACAAGGTCCTGCTATGTACCCCAAGCTGGCTTTGAAGTTGCTACATTAGCCTAAGTTGGCCTGAAACTTGAAATCCTACTGCCTTAGGCTTCTAAATGCTAGGATTATAGCTGCCACACCACCAAGCCCAGCTCTGAGATTCAACTCTGACATTATTTTATTGCCTATGGAACTCTGCCTGCAAAACATCTGGATTGTTTCAGGCTGTCTGTGTAACCTCTGCCATGAGCCAAAAGTTCCTTAAAGAAAGAAAACAAATCTTGACTAGCCTTGAATCTGAAATATTTGTTGAAAGAGTAATTCAGTCAAATTGCAACTTAAATATTAAAATTCTTAACATTTTTAATGATGTGTTAAAAATGGTCACCCACAAAAGCTGTATCCAAAATTAAGAAAAGCTTGATGAAGTGTCCATTTAATGTATGAAAAAGACTCCAGAAAAAATAGTTTTCATTATCTTGTCTGAGGCCAACTTTAAACTGCCTATCAATCCTGGCCAATACACTTGAAACTCAACACTGCAACATCTAGGCCTGCTTCTATTTATCTTGAAAGTATAATGCTGAGTTTGCTTCCATTTTGTACAGCCAATTCCTGAGTCAATCTCAAAGAAGTCTTACCTTATTAGTTAATCACTGTCAGATCACTTTGATAGGTGAGGGACAAAGTGTATGTAATCTCCCACAGCTCTCTGTGGTTTGGTCTCCGCTCCACACAGCACATTCATGTCCCCAAACAATGGCTGCCCTGTGACTCTAGCTGCCTGCTCCCCCAGCCTATCACGCTTCAGGTGTCCAGGGAATCAATTAAAGGTGAGTAGGTAGACGGTGTTTCCTAAAATGACTGAATGTAACTAGAGTATCTATTAGTACCTAATAGGCATCTGAGACACAGTACACAGAAGCTTTTACAAATCTTCATTCTCTTTTTAGATCCATGTACCATTTATGTTTTGATTCAAAAGGACTGAAATATGGTCAAGAAGGCAATCAGATTTATGGTGCTACCAGCTCATGTGGCTTTGAGTGTCTAGCTCTATCCCAACCCATAAGGCTCCATATGATTAGTGTTTTTGGCTCTTGGAGGCCAATGCAAGGCTCTAACTCTAACTATGCTGCAGATTTTGATGGCCATTTATTCTTCAAGTTGCTGTTATGCCAACTAATATGTAGTCCTGTTGATGATGAACAGAAGGTATTTCCCAAAGCCTTAAAATTTATTTTTAAAATATGTAAGACCCACTGAATCCTGCAGGTTCCAAAGGCAAAAAATGACAAAAAAATGAACTCCAGACACTCTTTAACACTACGAACTGAGTTCTAACAGACTAATCAACAGGTCTGTTTCTTGTTGCTACAAGCAGCCTGAACATGTGGCTTACTTGGTTACTCTCCCTGACCTCCTAATCACCATTCTACTCATGTATTTACTTTCATTTCTCATTCTTACAAAGAGGCTGTCTTGTGGCCATGGATCACTTCATATGATCCCATATTCTATTTACTAATTCTCATATTGATACCTAATACTGAAGGTGGCTATGTTATTTCTGACACAAAAAGCATGGGTTCTCTGGACTGACTTTCTTAGATTTCCCATCTTGTACATTATGTCACATGACAATCGGAAACTTGCAAATGCTTCCTAAATATGGCTGAAGGAATAAAATCCCAGAATGGACTTGCATTATTATGCATGTCTCAGAAATACTCCTTTTAGGAATAAGGCCCTTGGGTTTATTTCTGTACTCCCAATTTTAGACAAATATTATACGGAAAACATTACAAGTATTCTGGAGTACTAGGTTCAGATTTGCTAATAATTAGGAGTATGGCTCTCTATCTTATCTTTTATATGTAAAATGAATAGCGTGATCTGTTTTAATGACAGTAGAAACCATGTATATCTGATTTAGGATCCTCAGGACCTAAGCCTATGTGGGAAAACATAAATGTTTGTTCAATCATCGTAGAAACAATAATCCTTTGGGTCTACCAATCTTTGGGACATTAATAACTGTGCTTGTGTGTGTGTGTCCCCAAGTATGTGAGTGTGTACGGGGTCTTGAACTCAGGGCCTTGTACTATCTTTCCCTTGGCTTTACTCAAGGCTGGCACTCCACCAGATCTCAGCCTCCTTAGCTAGGATTCTATTACAGGTATCATGGAAAGCTCGTGCTCATTTCAGACACAGCCTGCCTCTGTATGCTGAAGTGGCCTTTGACAGCCACTGTACTTCATTCAGTTCTTTATATTAAAAGTGACCTGCTTGGTGGTAGAGATTATGGGCAAAAGTTCTAAAGCCCTTGTGAGTTTACAAAACTCCTGTAATCACAAAGTTTTGAGTGTCTGTGGCCTATCCGCATTTTCCTTGATGGGGGGGGGCGGGGGGAGGGAAGGATAAGAACCACAGGAAACCTGTGGTCGTTTGTCACCATCTGCCCAGGTCTGTGTGCAGAACGGGGCCCGGGTTTCTCCTGGGGTGGTTTGGCTTGCTTCTTTGGGGAAGTGGGGGGTGTCTAGGGCATCGAGGAAGCTTGTGTAGGCCAGGGGCCTCAGTTTACCTGGCGCACCCCTGTAAATCCAATCCTCTCAGGCTTTCCACCTGGGCCGGTGGGTCACAGGCCTCTCCATCCACGGCCTCCTCATCCTCCCCGTCGCCGTCCTCCTCGTCAAACACGAAGCTATGGTGGCCGAGGGGAGACAGCAGGGACCAGGTCGAATTGCTGCAGCTGAGAGGCAGCGGCGGCGGCGAGCGCTCAGACGTCGTCACCGCTTCCAGTGCCCGCCCCAGCGAGTCCGGTGTCAGGACCGTGAGTGATCTGGAAGCGGGCCGAGACCTGGGCCCGAAGTCGGTGAAGAAGTCCGGGCACGGAGGTGGAGAAGGGGGCCGCCACCGCCCCACCGACCACATCGGGCCCAGCCAACTTCAAACCGGCGCCGCCGCCAAGCCCCGTTCTCCCAGCAGGCCCAGCGCGCGCCGAGCCTAGCCAATCCGAACAGGCTCCGCCCCTGCAACGCGAGCGTTGCCATGCCGACGATTGGGGCACGCCGAGGCTTTGTCTGGGCTTGCAGAGCGTGGCTTTCTCTGCGGGTTCTGAGCCTCTCTCTACCTTTCCTCGGTGGCTGAACGCTGCCCGGTGCTTAAGAGACTCCGCACCTCCCCTGTTCATGGGACCTGGCTCCCTGATGGCAACTTTTGGTTGCTGTGGTGTTATAAACCGTTTGGCAAATAAAATATGTTACTGTCAGTGAACAAGGCAGAACCTTTTAAAGTAAAAGAGGGGGAAAGCCAAGACAACCCCTCTAGCCCCCAGGTAAGGTCAGGATGATAAACTTATCAGTTGTCATTTCTTGAGGTTAGTGACCATCTTTTTCTGAGAAGGTGGAGAACTTTTATCTAAGAATGTTCTTTTGGGAGAGACAGAGACTGGGGCGGGAGGGCACTATGATTTGAACTCAATGCCTTGTGCTCTTGCTTGGCTTTTTTGGCTCAAGCTTGGTGCTCCAACCACTGAGTCACACCAGCTCTTGGCTAGTTATTGGAGAAGAGAGCCCCACAGGCTTTTCTACCAGAGTGGCTTTACACTGTCATCCTCAAATCTCAGCCTTTTGAGTAGTTAGGAAGGCAGGGTATGAGCCACCAGCTCCCAGCTCTGGGACAGTCTTCCTGGTTTAGAAGTAATGCAGTATTTTTCTGGCATCTCAAGGGAACTAGTTTGTCCTAAGCAGCGTGTGGACTTTTTAGCCGTTTTCCTGAGAATCAGCCCAAGCTATATAGAGAAAACTTGAAATCCTTCTGTCTCACCTTCCTGAATACTACTATTACCTGTGTATGTGACCACCTCAAACACTTCATTCTTTTGTGATGAAATGTCGTTTAACAAAATGCTGATAGGTAAGGAAGCATTGTGAGGTGTGGAAGCTTGATGCTTTGTTCAAGATGATAAAACTGTGTACACCTGTAGCTAAACATTACTTTTGTCCAATACAATTGCTCATAGAAATATCACTAGGGCTTGGAAGGTAGCTCAGTGGTAGAGTGTTTGCTGCTCGTGCTTGAGGCACTGGGTTCAATTCCTTAGCACCACATAAACAGAAAAAGCTGGTGCTGTGGTTCAAGGGGTAGAGCGCTAGCCTTGAGCAAAAGCAGCTCAGGGATAGTACCCACACCCTGAGTTCAAGCCCCAGGACTGGCAATATATATATATATATATATATATATATATATATATATATATCATTACTAAAAAAATTACATAATTTTCCATTTCCTCATCTGTCTATATCCTCATCTGTCTTCAGATTCACCAAGTGAAAAGACAGTGGTTAAAACAACACAAAAACTTGTTACAGACGAGGGAGATAGGAAAATCTTTAGATAGATCTGTGCAAAATTTGACACAACTGGATATGGCAGAAATTAATTGCAACAAAAGATAATTTCAGGATGAAGAAGCTCAAGTTACTCAAATATTTCACCAGAAGGTATAATTTAGTGGTAGTGTACTTGCCTACACTGTGAGAGTACTTATGTTAAATCCCAAGTATTGAAAGAAACAATACAAAAATGCAGTCCTACAAACTACTTATATGAGGCATTTTGTTAAAATTTGCATTAAAATCACAATGAAAATGAAGGAAAGCTGGAACATATTGAGTACTATAAAGGATCAATAAAAAACAAGTTCATTAAATTGTTTTCCGTCTTTACCCTATTGTTGAATATTAGCATAACTGCTTAAAACCTTTTGTGAGAATATCTCTAGTATTAACATCACATTTTTGGCACTTCCCAAGGAGATAAGCTTGAGATACAATTTTCAAACAGAAATAACCTAACTTGAGGGGGAAAAAAAGGTTTAATAGAAAAAAAAACTTCAATTAATGATTTTCCTTAATAAATATCCTTAAATAAGCGGTTTGACCTTTACATTCCTAGCCTATTCCTGTATAAAATAGGAGATAATCTACCTTACAATAATATTTCATTACCCATCAAAGCTTCTAGCTCAGCAATAATGTAAACTTACCACTTAAACTTCAAAATGTTTCCACCAAAAAATTCCATTGTAGGAATATTAAAAATGCAATGCACTTTCCTTCTTGAAGTACTTTACTGAACAAAACATGTCTTTTCTTCAATGTTTTGGGGTCACCATTATGACTCATAATGAACCATGTAGCTGAGGCAATAACATGGTGCTAGTGTTTGAAGCTAAATCCTCAGTCACTTTTTTTACAGTGCCTTTTCATTTGTAGGGCTAAGAAATCATAACAGTATGGGTAGAATTATTCATAGATATACAAATTGGCTTAAAAGAGAGTGCCTTGCTTAAGTTATAGAATATTGTTTTTGTAAGGTTTTCCTTCTATTCACTTAATTTTCACTTTTTAACTTGTTTTGCTTTCATAATGTACTCAAGATCATTATTTTTGTTGGTTCTAAAACCTTCTGTGAGTGAAGGTAACTTTCTGTTACAAAAATACCACTAGCAGTTCTATGGCAATATAGGCTACTTTAATATATCCCTGGACACAACATCATGTCGTAGCTTGCCTCAAAAGAAAAGGCAGAGTGATTGGGAGGAGATGAGTGAGCCAAGGTGAAGGTGAATGAGATTAGAATAGAGTAATATGTATAAAGGAAAGGTAATTATTGTATTTTTTGGCTATAGAAATTTAAGTCTGTGAAGTTTAAAGTATACTCACAAAACAGCCAGGTAACAGAGGTTCATACCTATAATCTTATCTACTCAGATTACTTAGCCTTAGTAAAAAGCTGAGCAAGAGCATGAGGCCCTGAGTTCAAGCCCTTGTATCAGCACACACACACACACACACACAAAATACAATACATGGGAGTCTCACATTTACTTAAATTTCACTCAACCAACTGATTTTTCATTTGTAGTTGAGGGATTGAAGACCATAAACACTGAATATTCAAGCATTTGACCATCTTTAATATGTAAATATTTTAAAGTCATTTGCTTTGAAAATATCGAATTGGCATTCTCAAGTTGCACAATTTATTTTTTGTGATATAGTCAAATTTAGGAGAAAACTACTTCTAAATTCCAACGAAGCATTGTTAGATATTTATAGATGACTATCAAAATAGTTCATAATCTGTGACTTCTATTATTTCTTCCAAATCCTATACTTTGTCTACAAAACACTAAGTAAATTCATTGTACCTAGTTATAAAGTAAAGCAAAATGGATTTTTTAGAAACTTCAATAATTCAAAATACTGAGTACAATAGTGTATTCTTACTTTAAAAATTTTTTCCCACATATTTTAAGTATCTTCCAGTACTTAGGCTTGAACTCAGCACCTGGAAACTGCTCGTTAGCTTTATTCACTCAAGGCTGATGCTCTACCACAGCTCCATTTCTTGTTTTTGCTGGTTAACTGAAAGTAAGAATCTCACAGACTTCTCTGCCCAGGCTGGCTTTGACCTCCAGTTCTCAGATCTCAGCTTCCAAAGTAGCTAGGATATCTGGCATAAACCATGGGTCTGTGTCCCTATTTTTTAAATGAATAAAGTTTTCAATAACTTGTATTTTAGGAAAAAAGGTTTTAATTAGGATTTTCTTACCAAGTTATGATTTAACATTTATCAGATGTGTAAATATACAAATATGATAGCAATTTTTAAAACTTGTAAATAGTTGGCCATACAAAATTACAGCACACTGGAAATAAATCCCTCCCACATTTTGTACAAACTACATGATTTTGATATACAAAGATTCTGTTTTTATTACACTGACAATGTACAACCAAGACTATTTACAATGCAAAAAAAGTATATAAACCACAATTTAACTTTCTGCTACTGGCAGCCACTATAGTTTAGGAGGTAGCTTTAATTAAATGAGCAGAAGCCACATTTCCCAACTCGTGTTCTAAAAATAATTTACATAAGATAAAAATTCATTATATGCACAGTATGTACAGTTTAATTATTAAACTGCAACTTAGCTTAATTTTTTGTATATCCAGGCTAACTCACATGGCAGTAGGTTTGCAATTGATTTAACCTTGTTTAAAAAAAAGAAACTTACTGAGCAATTATAACTTTATGCCTCCATACAGAAACATGTCAGAAGCCCACAGATGAAAATCAAGTACTTAGAAAATATTTAAGGACAGAGCATTTAACTTTATTCCTTTTATCTACCCTCCCCCCTTAATGGCACATTTTTAATGTCTAACTGGGGTTCAACATCTGACCCACTGAATGAACCATTTGTAAGTGGGAAAATGGAGAAGGTATATGGACACATCTACTTAGCAGTGCAGGAGAATCCAGCGGTTTGAGAACTAAATGGAAGTGCTTTCTGTCACAGTTATTCCAAGTTATTTCCAATAACTTAATATATTTACCCCTGATTTACTTTCTGTATAGTCCAAATTGTTAGTTCAGCACATACCAACAAAACTGGAAAAAAAAATCAGTAGAGTCAGTGATGACAAAAAATACTTAATGGAAAACTGCACAGAGCCATTAAATCCCTCAGGAACCATTCAAATCCATATATTTTTAGCCAAATCAACTAAACCCACACAACAATTAGCCTGTTGCTTTTCCTCAGTAGTACAATTACAAAATACTAAGGAAAAAAAATACTATGATCACAACCAAAGCAATGTATAAGGATGCGAAGCAAATGGTCTGCTATGTTTTGTTTTGTTTTTAGAAATCTAACAGCTGTTAATATTGTTTTAAAAAACATCTTCAGGTTTTAGATTTATAAATCACATGAACAAGATGAGAATACAAAACACAAAAAGGTAATGCCTGTGCATACTCTTACAGTGTGAGCTGAGAGACTGTCCCTTTTTCACCCCTGCAGTAAATTGTCCTGAGATTAATGGTGAAACATTAAGTAAGATTAGTAAGACTTTTCAGTTATCTAAAATCACATTTAATTTCTTTTTAAATATTAACAGCTGTTCTCTATCTTGTGCTTTATTCAGAAACATAAAAATTTGCATCTTAGGATTCACAAAGAATGAACTTTATAATATCGCAAGACTACACCCAAATTCTTTTCAAGTTTTATTTATTTCAAACAGACCCCACATGGCTTAGACATTACATTTATTTTTTTTCCCCACCAATTTATAGTTTAGGCACCTGTTCTTTGAAAATGTCTGGGTTTGAGAAATAAACTGCCACCTTCCCCTTCCTCTAAGTGGTACCAGACAGTAATTACAGACATGCTTTCCAGAAGAAAGATCAGAATAAGGTCCACTCTAGAAACACTGTGATTTTGGTTGATGAGGAAATGGTCGGAAACACAGTAGTTCAGTCTTTCACTCTTGGTAGATTGTAAGCATAGCGCACCAAAGGAAATCCTCGGCTCTGATAGAAGCAGGCTCTTCCGCAGGCCTGCACCTGGTCAGAACTGTCTGAGACGAAGGAATCCTCTTCATCTGCGTAGTCCGAATGGGCCGACTGCGTGCCACAGTCAGACCAATAGCCCTCGGGTCTTTGGCAAGAAGCCACTGCCAAGGCAGGACAGCTGTGTGATTTGATGAAGTGTTTGCATGACACTGGTTTTGTCAGAAGGAAGGATTCACAGCAGTCGCACACGGTCAGGTTCCCCTGCAGGTCAGAGTACACGCCACAGTCGTAGTAGAAGTCTGGCTCCACACAACCCCCCTGGCTGCTGATGGAAACGGAGACGGATCCGCTTTTCTTGGTCACACGATGCTTCAGTAACTTCCATTCTTCTTTAAACTTTGGGTTGAAGAACACGTACAGGACCGGATTCAAGCAAGCAGGCAACGGGAAAAAAATCAGAGTGACCGACTTCATTATTTCAGGACTGATCGAGATGGCGGTGATCAGCGGCGCAAAGGAGAAAAACGCAACAGGGCAGAAGAAGATGCAGTTGGTAAAGATCAGCCACGCCACATGCTTAATCATGCCAGACTGGGAATTCTCCGAGAGGTCTTCCTTTTCCAGGTTGCAGTACAGTTTCGTGTAGATAACGGCCATTAATAGAAACGCTAGGGAGTTTAACAGCACTAAGGTGACAGTGTATCCTAAGGACGGCGTCTCTCCGGTCGGGAACGGCAAGCACAAGGGGGAGGCGGAGTACTCTCCTGTATGGAACAGGGGGAAACAGCCCGCCACGGCAGCCCCCAAGAAAGCGCACAGGGCAGCCACCTGGAACTGCTTGAGATGATTGCTCTTCCCGTTTTGTATCATGCCTTTTGCAGAGAAGCTTCTTTCCACCACTGCTAACATTAGTAAAAATATGGCACTTTCTGAGGAGAAAACTGCCAGAAACCCAGCAACTTTGCAGCCGCTGCCAGTCTCCCACCAGATGCCAAAGTCAGCAAACCTGCCCCAGGATACAGCATCAAGGAACGTGAGGATGCCAGTGTAGACTCCCATGAATAAGTTAGACACTGAGATCAAGCCTATGAACAATTTGGAGGAAGGGAGTGATGTACAAGATGCAAATGTGGTTACAATGACAAGCAGGTTGAAAAACAATGCAACCAAGAAAATGAACCACACGGTAAGACGAATCATCCAGCTTCCCAGTAAATATTCACAGGGTTTAAAAGCACCTATGATGAAAAAAAGAAAACACAGTAAGAGGCAATATTTAAAAATACCCTATTTCCTATGCTTAACAGCTTTATAGACTAATGACAGTTGACTCCTGAGGAAGTCTGCTACCTATGTGAATTAATCAAATTGAAAAGGTGACGACTTTTTAAGATATTTCAGTCATAGAATAGGCCAATTTTACAAATAAACTGGCTTTAATTTAATTAGATATGGCTTCAATTTCCCAGAAAAATGTCTAACACATAAAAGGTATGTGATAATATTGGGGACCTGGAATTAAATGCTTCATGACATGTAATCTTACCTAGAGAAAGGAACTTATATCTGTATAAATTTCATTTTATCACTTGAGGATGGTAATGTCTGTTTCACTGAGCTGTGAAGCATGTAAAATGATAAACAGGATACTTAAGCAGGATGCAGAATATATAGTTGGACTTTAGTAAATATTAGCTCCCTTTTTCTAGTCTACATAAACTTCATAACAGTATACATATATGCACATATTTTAAACATATTATTACCTATTTCTTATAGCTTTAAAAGGCAACCTGAAGAGGAAGGCTAAGACACATATAGTTACCTTCCTGTTTTACCCAGAGAAACTGACATTGTAAAGCCTTCGCCCCAACAAGGGTCATTCAGTAAGACAGTAGAGCCAGTATTAAGCCCACATTGATATAATTATACAATGCTTGATTCAAACAACTATATAACACATGAGTTGTGAGAACTGACTTAATAATTTTTCCTTTTTTATTTTATTTATTTGGTTCCAGTACTGGTTTTTGAACTTAGAACCTTACACTTACTAGGCAGGAACTCTATTACTTGAGCCATACTGCCAGCTCTTTTTGATTTTTGTTGTTTTGTTGTCCAGGAGAGGCTGGACCTTGATTCTCAATTATGCTTCCCACATAGCTGGGATGTCAAGCACACTCCACAGTACTCAGCTTTTTATTGATTGAGATCGGGTCTAGAGAATGTTTTGCCCAGCTGCCCTAGAACTGTCATTTTCCTGACTTCTGCCTCCTAAGTAGCTAAGATTATGGATGGGATCCACCACACTCAGCACATTCAGTAACTGGATTGTCTGTTCTAGAAATTCACTGTCACATGCTATCCTTGTCATAAGTGAGAACTGTTTCATATAAAAAAACTAGAAATGAAAAAAAATGAGAAACACAAGAATCTATGTATCACAATTGTCTGAAAGATATGTTCTATTTTTCTGGACTATCATGAAATTTGATATATCCAAAAAGCACTTTAGTCCTCAAGACAGTTATAGACCCAAAAACCATTTACCTGATTTCCAGATCACACAAAAATTTGTAACTTAAGGCTGGGCACTGATGTCTCCAATTAACCAGCAAAAAACTGAAGGTGGTACTGTGGCTCAAGTGGCAGAGAGTCAGCCTTGAGCAAAAAAAGTAAGAGCAAGTACCCAGATAAACCCTAAACTTAAGTCCCAGGACTGACACATATACACATACATACAAATTGTGACTTAAATTTTATTTTCACTCTCCCTATCAGAAGAAGGGAAGCTCTTTAACTTTAACTTTCTTTCTGTATGGGAACTCATTATTTTTCAAGAAGGAGGGGTAGCGCATCTGACCTGGAAGAAAAGGACACCTACAAAAGTCTAAAAGTGACCAACACCCAGATTCTCTCTGTGGAAGCCTACTACCTCCTTCAAACCTAAAAGGATCTATGTTCTCCTTTGTTGCCTGATTCTGCATGAGCATATGTGGGTTTGTGTGTGTGTGTGTGTGTGTGTGTGTGTGTGCATATGTGTGCATGTGTGTACTTACTATAACTGAGTTCACCCTTACTGTTACCTTACGGAGATGAGCTCAGACCAGCTTTCTCCCTGGACAAGTGTAGAAGAAATGGAATCACTGCACGATCAGTAACCTCCCTTTAAGAAAACCACTCCCTTCTCTCTGGATCTTCAGCTTTCTATGTATACTCTCTAACATATGACCAATGGAGCAACTGAGTAGTTATCCATCTTCTAAAAATGAATACATAGAGACACACAATGCATTACATAAACTTAAGATTCCTGCCAATTTCTCCATATATGTATCTGCTAACTTTAAGCTTATTATCAGGCTGAGGATGTGGATCAAGTAGTAGAGTACTTGCAGGCAAGCAAAAGGCCCAGAGTTCAAACCCTAGAACCACACAAGAAAATAAAAAGCTTATTCTTTACACAAATCACTGAATTAAGTATTCAACAAATAGCACCACAGAAGCTCACAGTCTGGCAATCACAGTAGTGAATCATAATGTGTGATTCCGACATAAAATCAATGTCTAGATTATCCCATGACATCAGAGCAATGAAATCTCCTTTGTGCAGGCAAACAACTTCACAAAAAGTAGTTTATTTTATAGTTAAATTATTAATCCATCTTTGTTATATTAGGTATAATATTACAAATATATGGAAGCAGTTTAATAATTTTCCCAAGACTCATAATTTAATGAATCATAAGTGGCTTAGTTACATTTTAAAATAATACTAAAAATATTAAAAACCCTAATAGACCAGTGATTTGTAGAAAGAGTCAAAAGAATATTAGGAAAGTGCCTCTTTTAGCTGCGTGCCAGTGGATAACACCTATAGTCTTAGAGCTATTCAAAAGGCTGAGATTTGAGAAATGAGGTTCAAAGCTAGATTGGGTAGAAAAGTTTGTGATAATCTTATCTCCAAAAGTAACCATTAAAAAAAGACCCAAAACAGCATTGCTGGAGACAAAGCTCAAGTGGCAAAGCACTAGTCAAGCAAGAATGTCAAGCAAAGTTCAAGGCCTTGAGTTCAAATCCTGATATGGGAAGGAGTGCCTCTTGTGGGTACAATGGCTGAAATCTGTAATCCTAGCTAATTGGGAAGCAATAATAAAGGGATCAAAGTTCCAGGCCAGTTTGGGTCAAAATAAAATATAATACTAGCTGAAGATCTTGGCATGTGCCTGTCTTCCCAAGCTATGAGAAGAACACAATAGTTGGGTGGCATATTCCTGTAATCCAAGCAACAGGTAAGCATAAATTGGTGGAATGTCCAGGACAGATCAGGCATAATGTAAGACCTTATCTCAAAAATAATCAAAGCATAAAGGGGCTGGTGGAGTGGCTCAAGTGGTAGTGAACACCCTTAACATGTGCAAGAGTTCAAACCCAGTACTGGAAAAAGAAGTGGAGGGGGGAGAGCCAGGGAAGGGGAGGGAGGGCAGGGGAGAGGGAGAGGGAGAGAAGAAGGAAGGAAGAAAAAGGAAGGAAGGAAGGAAGGAAGGAAGGAAGGAAGGAAGGAAAGAGGGGAAGGAGAAAAAGTCTCTTAAGCTCTTAAGCAGTATGTGCCTAATCCTTACCCTGAAAAATCTTAAGGTACATAGTGGGATTCAGTGGATAGGACCCTGAAATCCTGAAAAAGATGCTTGAGCTACCTATCAGCAGACCACATTTGGAGTCAGTAGGCCTTACAAGATCATCTAGTCCCACCCCTACTCCATAGAAATCATATCCATCCCCTATGTGTCAAGATTATTTAACCTATGCTTACTTAAAGTGAGAAACATGGCAAATTATATTGGGCCTTACCTGTTGAGGGTGTACAATGGATAATTATTTGACTGTGCTCTTCATTTTCAACACTGCTTGTGACATTGGTTGCATCAGCAGTACCTGAACATATCACATAAAGTATGCTCAATTAAAATTGGATGCAATTCAAAAGTGCCACATTTCCCTACCTTTTTTTCCCCTCTCATTGTAAACCTAGCTTATATGAGTCTTGATAATATATCTGTGATACTGATCACACAGGAAATGCCACAGACTTTATATTGATCCTTCCCAAACTGATTATAACACAGACCCATTGATTAATGCATTAAGGAGTGTTCTGTTTTAAAAAGTTCATGCACTTGCCTTTGTCCTTTGTCACACTATGGTCTTGGAGACTGTTATCTTCTGTGTTCAAATGTGCATAAGAGTCACAACCCCAAAATGCACAGCACTGATAAGCATAGGGTACTGATAAAGACCTGGTGAAAAATTGTAAAATACACAATGAAAGATGAGGGAAGATGGGGGTGGTGGTGACACTGATCAACATACCTTGTACTTATAAACTGACTTCTGGATTGTACACCCCATAAAAATACACATTGAATCTCAATTTCTCAGATAGGAGTTCATTTGGTTAGAAACTATTTTAATCTCTGAAAACTCCAGTGGTGAGTCAGGAAGACCTAACTGCCATGTGTCTTATAGGCTGGCCATTTATTATTTCCAGGCCTGTTTCCTCATCTATGAATAGCATCCATGTAAAGTTCATAAAGATAATCACAAAGACATATTACAAACTTGTCCTTTTGAAGTTGAATGTGTGTTAAGCCATATTTAAATTTTCATCACAACAATGCAGTTTTTAAATGTTCCCCGGCACCAGTGGCTCACACCTGTAATCCTAGCTACTCAGGAAGCTGAGATCTGCCCAGCAGGAAAGTCTGTGTGAGCCTCTCATCCCCAATAAACTACTCAGAAAAGGCCAGAAATGGTGCTTCAGCTCAAAGTGGAAGAGCGCACTAGCCTTGAACAAAAGATCAGAGACAGCACCCAGGCCCAGAGTTCAAGACCCAGGACAAGCCAAAAAAAAAAAAAGAAAAGTAAATGTCTATAATACCTTTTATACATATCTTAACTATGCTCAATTTACCTTCACATAAATATCCAACGTCACTTGTGACTTTGCACCATTAAATAAATTGGCTTTGTTCATATAAATGCAGTGAAAGTATTTATTGCCTTCTTCCTCAATAATAGTCTCAAGTACTTTTCACTATCCATAATGAGATCATACTCTATAAATCTGAAGTCTCTATGAAGTTTTACAGCATTATATCTACTTGTCAGCTCACATGATATTGTTTGTGATATTAGTAAAGAAAAGGCATTATATTCATTAAAACACTTAACTATTCTGTATTTTTAGTTCATGTTCTCAACAATACTCCAAATCTACAAATCTATAAAAGATAGAGGTAGAAAGTAAATATAATCTAGCAAGAAAATCTTGGAAACAAAGAAAGAAAGGGGTGGTGGGGTATGGGGGGAACAAAACCTCAGAACACTATAATTTGGGGGCTTACTATAAACCCAGTGAAAAAGAATAAGCAAAAACATACCTGAGATTAGCAAAGTCTTTTGCTGATAAGGGGTCTTTCAGCTTAAAGTTGCCCACAAGTTTTAGCTGGTTTAGCCCATTCAGGCCTTCCGTGGGAAATGAAGTTAGCTCATTGAAACTTACATCTCTAAAATGTGAATGAGACTTTGAGTTAGTTCCCTATGTAAAAAAAAAAAAATCACAAAAATCTCTCTATATATTAACATCATAAACGTTATATCCCTAAAATGATAGATGTACCATGTGTGTGTTATGTAAGAAGATGTTACTATCTCAATATATTTTAGCAATTTTGATTTTGACCATGTTAAAACACAAGTTTCAAAGCTTGGGGGCGGGGAGAGAAGGAGGGAGAATATGTCTTGTGCCCCAGTAGGCAGGAGGCTGAGGCAGGAAGATCAAGTATTCAAGGCCAGGCTGGGCTACATTGTGAGACACTATCTCAAGGAAAGAAAAAAGAAAAACTTCTCTTCATAGCTCTAGAATACTACTTCATATAATTATCTGCATACTTACAGGTTAGTAACTGGCCCAAGCTTAGCAAAAGCTCTGCTGTGAATTTCATGGATCAGGTTTCTACTCAGGTCTCTGCAATTTAGAAGTAACATATTAATTTTTCTGAAGATGTAACATAATATCTTTGATGATAACAAAGACCTTCAATCTTGTCCAGCAACAGTTTTTCCTGTATGCTTTATTGCCTCTCTTTTGTGAAAATTTATTTCTTAAAACAGAATCCCTATAGCAGCAAAGCTGGCAACTATTTCAAAACAGTTGTAAATATTCTCACCTTTATCATTCTGGTACCAGTTCAAAACTATAAATGATATGAGAGAACCTTTGGTACTATTAACTAGAGGAAGAAAAGCCCAGCCCTTACAAGACTGAAAATAAAAATAGGCTTCATAGTGTTTGCCTTCTCAAAGGTTAGTGATAAGACTCCAGAGAAGACAAATAGAATCAATAAACAAACAAGGGCATTCCAAGAGGGCTGCAGATATCTTTCTTTCCCTAATCAGGAAATAAAAATCCTATCAACAGCAAAGCTAGCTCTACATTCAGCAACACACCCTGAAAAAAAATTCTGCTTTTACAGAATTAACAAATCAGAAGAGTAATCTATAACCACACTTATGTTGGGCTTTAAAGGAAATTTAAAGATCCATTAAGTTCATCTAGAACGCATGTCCTGAATAACAGAAAAACTTGAAACAAGTTGGTTATAAATCATGAAAAGACTTGCTTTCCATGGCTGTCAATCAGTGCTCTCAAAGTCATGGCAACTAGGATCCAGCTCCTGTCCACATGACTGCCCACACATACAGAATGCCTGTCCATCACAGAAACAGACAACAACACCTCTAGTACAGTGCCTGTTTATTGTTGTTTGCTATTGCTGTTCTTTATGGTGCCTAGGACCAAATCCAAGGCATTGGGCATCATGCTATCCCTGAGCTGTAACCACAGCCTCTTTGATTTCTTAAAGTGGAGCCAGTAGGAAAATAGATTAAATATATTAAAATTTTCAACATTTTTCTATATTGAAAAAGATGCATTAATTTAGTGCATTACATTTTCCAAACTAACATTCTATAAAAATGGTGACAGTTTTGTCTTGGTCATCTCTGTAGTTCCAGGCTAATGCCTGATGCAAACATATACTCATATTCACACACACACACACACACCCTGGACATGTGCTTGTTAGATAAATACTTAGTCCTTTTGCTTTTTAGTTTTTTTTTTTTTTCAGATAGGGTCCCATGCATTTGCCTGAGCTGGATTTAGACCACAATTGTTCTACCTCCATTCTCAAGTAGCTTAGATTACTGGTAGGCACCATCTCTCCTGACCCTAAATACATTTTAACATGAGTGCTTCTGTTATACATAAATGAGCTATACTACTCATGATAGACAACCCAGAGCAAGAGTCTGCCAACTTTGCCTTTTACTTGGCCAAAGAATAAATATTTTTACCTTTGTGGGTCATGTGGTCTCTGTTGAAACTATTCAACTGTGCCACACCATGAAAAAAGAAGCTTAGACAACACTTCAACAAAAGGCCTGGCTTAGTTCCAACAAAACTTAATTTATGAAAACAGGAAGCAGGCTAGTAGAGTTGACTCATAGGCAGTAGCTTGCTCACCCTAGCTCTAAAGGATGGAGAACTCACTATTAAAATTTGGAAACAAACTCCATCATTCAGGTTATATACATTTATAATTTTTCACTCAGTAAGGTACAATAGCATCAATTAGCTCAGGAAAAACTATTAAAAATTGATTATATAAAGTACAATGTGATAACAAGGTAGACAATATTTATGGATCATAAATTGAATCTTTAAATGGAACTATTGGCATGCAAAGTATAGTGACACATTAATTTATAGCTCAACAAAAAACGTCTTAATAATAATCATAGGAAAACTTACAGAATCCTTAGGTTTGCCAGGCCTTGAAAAGTATTTTCCTTTATTTGGTGGATTTGATTACGTTGCAATGAACTGAAATAAAGAAGAAAGAAGAAGGAGAAGAAAAAGGAGGAGGAGGAGGAGAAGAAAAGGAGAGGGGAGGAGGAGGAAGAAAAGAAAAAAGGAAAAAGAGGAAGGGAATGAAAGAATAGGAGAAAACAAAACAAAAATTACTTTTTCTAATTGGAACAGTAACATTGTTAGTTAAACATTTTCTAAGTTTAAGTATTCATTTGTATTTAATAATTGTTCTTGTGAAAAGTAAAGAGAACTGCCATTTCCTCATGCTAAAAATAAAAAAAGTGGGATTAAGTGCTATTACATCCTAAATTAAACTAGGAGTTAATTAGTACACCATCAAAATTCTTTATCAAGTCCACGAGGTGAGAGAAGGTGACACAGTGTGAAAGAACCCAAGCCAAGTAGCACAGGAACCAGACAGCTGATAACCTCTTCCATCACATCCCAACCAGCTTCCGTAATGGCAGTCCTAGAAGAGCACATGGGTGGGCTATAGGATTCATGACTGTTTACTCTCAGCAGCCAGGGCAAGATTTGTTTTGCTTTTTAGATATACCCTTGCCCTTTTATAGCATCTAATAGAACGGCTGATGAATAAGTGTCTAATGAAGGCCAGTTGTTAGCCCATGTTTATTATCCTAACTAATTAGGAGGCTGAGCTCTACAAATCAGTGTTGGAAGCCAGCATGGGCAGATAAATCTGAAAAATGATCTCAAATTAACCAGCATAAAGCCAAAAGTGAAGGTGTGGCTCACGTGGTAGAATGCTGAAAAATCTGAGGGAGAACAAGAAGCCTGGAATGCAAACTTCAGTACTGTCACAAAAAATAGATACGCTGTGTGCCAGTGACTCATGCCTGTAATCAGAGCTACTCAGGTGACTGAGATCTGAAGCTCATTGTTCAAAGTCAACCAATTAACCACCAAAAAGCTGAAGTAAAGCTGTGACTGAAGTGGTAGAGCACTAACCTTGAGCAAAAGTGCTCAGAGACAGCATCCAGATCCTGAGTTCAGGCCCTAAGACTAGCACACACATGCACACACAGGTAAAAGACAGATGATATAAATTGTATTCTTTTTGTTGTTGTTGCTGTTGGTCATAGAGTAACTCTTTTGCTCAAGGCTGGCACTCTACCACTTTGAGACATAGCTGCCATAGCTGGCTTTTTCTGTGATTAATTGGAGTTAGGAGTCTAGACTTTCCTGCTTGGAGTTGGCTTCCAACTGAGATCCTCAGATCTCAGCCTCCTGAATAGTTAGGATTATAGGCCTGAGCCACAAGTGTCCAGCAGATGATATAAATTAAAAAGGCCAATTTGCCATTTTAGTTAAAGGAATACCTGATTATATGAATCTAATTTCTTAACAGTAATAGTTCAGGTTAGTAATAGTAACAGTTTACTAAACAAAGGAAGTGCTTAGTGAATTAACAATACAATATTACAAAAATTAAAAAAAACTTACATTTCTTCTAGAGCATGACATCCATTAAAACTTGGAAGGTCTCTTATATTGTTGTAAGACAAGTCACTTAAAACAATAGAAATTGACAAATCAATGTCACCATTAGAATTGTATATTAGAAACATTATACTCAGAAGCACTGAAAGCAGCAATAAGATCTTCAAAAAAAGAGCTGAATGAGGAAAGCAACTATTTTTAACCTAAAACTTGTAAGTTCCCAGGGTACCTTGGTGATACAAGACGCTTAAGATTCATAAAGTCCAAATGTATCATGTTGATTATAGATAATATAAAATATGCTAAAATATATTAATCTATGCACCAAACAAAATACAATATGGAAAATATATAATTGTTTTAATTGATAAAGCTACAAGTGTTTGAAAATGTTCTGTTTTTTTTTCAATATTGTTTATGCCATAAATAATTTCTGTTTCTTTTTCAATTAAAAAAAAAGCACTAGGAGAATGGTATGCTTACACAAATCTTTTTTTTTTTTTTTGGGTCCGGTTGTGGGGCCTGACCTCTGGGCCTGGGCGCTGTCCCTCAGCTCTTCAGCTCAAGGCTAGCGCTCTACCACTTGAGCCACACTGCCACTTCCAGCTTTTTTTTTTCTTTTTGCTTATGTGGTGCTGAGGAATCGAACCCAGCGCCTCGGGCATACAAGACAAGCGCTCTACCACTGAGCCACCTTCCCAGCCCGCTTACACAAATCTTTTTAAACACTCATATCCAATAAAGTATCAGAATGGTAACCTTCCAACCTCATCACTATTTTCTCTCATTGGTGGCCATCCTCTTCCCATTTACACCATTTAATTGCTTACACAGTCAGTCACTTAACATTACTCTCTCCCTCCAGTAAATGCTTAGTAACAACTTAGCACTTTGTTCTGGTGACATGCTTACATCCTTCATTTCCATTTCTAGTCCTTTAGGAAGCTACATAATTACTTCATTCCTGATTAGAGGAAGGTTTAGGTTCTGCTTGTGGATCTTACAATCTGTTGTGGATCAAAGAGAAGAATATGGGGTCTGAATGCCCCTAGGGAATCAAGAGTAAGGACAGACTCAAGAAAGAAAAATTAAACAAAACAAACAAAAAACCCATAGGTTTGACATATAACTAAAAAATAGAGTGCTTGCCTAAAATGTGAAGGCTCTGGGTTTAACTCCCAGCATAAAAAGAGGAGGAGGAGGAAGGGGGGGGGAAGGAGAGGGGGAGGCGAAAGGGGAGGAGGAGGGGGAGGGGAGGGGAGGGAAGGAAGGCTGGGTAAGTAGCTCAGTGGTAGAGTGCTTGCCTTGCATTCATGAGGCCCTGGGTTCGATATCTCAGCATGACATAAGCAGAAAAAGCAGGAAGTGGCATTGTGGCTCAAGTGGTAGGGTGCTAGCCCTGATCTGAAGAGCTGAGGAACAGTGCCCAGGCCCAGAGTTCAGGACCCACGACCGACAAAAAAAAAAAAGAGGAAAAGGAAGAAGAGGAGGAGGAGGAGGAAGCAGAGGAAATGGGTGGTAGAGGAGGAAAACAAGAGTGAAAGAAAAGGGAAAGAAAGAAGGGAGGGAAGGAGAAGAAGAGGATCAAGGAAGAACCTAGCTTAGTTTCTCTTTATTCAATACATAACTCAGAAGATTGTGACAGACACAAGAACTGAACCCAAATTCAGATGCACATGACCTCTCCAGTAGACCACTAATCTTGCCTGTTTATGTGAAAGAAGCAAATAAAAAGTAATTGTATGTTAAAGCTACCTTCCAAAAATAGTTTATTAAAAAATAAAGCAGAACACTTGTAAAGTACATACAAGAAAAGTATGAAGAGCAGGGAGAAAGAATCGAACTTACAGAGTCCTGAGCATCTTTTGTTTTTGGCACAAGTTATCAGGAATGCTGCTTATCTTTGTACCTGTCAAGGTCCTGTGGGGAGTTTAAAAAAAAAAAAGCATTGTTCATCTAAAAAAATATTTCAAGTCAGCATGGTAAAAATGTTATTCTCATACACAAGAATAAATTCTCATGTGCTTGTGCATACAAGAGTCAATGAATCCCATTTCCTAACAACTCCCTAATGGTAGGTTGGTAGGAAGGTGAATTAACCCTCAATCTAACATCATCTTTACTGTAAGGAATAAAAGCTTAGCGTTCAGATAATGGACTAGGAGAAAAATATGTATTTATAGCCATGCCCTAGCTACAATTACCTGAAAGCTGTGTCACCTTCTTACATTCAACATGTGTGAAACCACCTTGGCGTCTTGCCCTGGATATTGTTTCTGTCTTTTCTGTCAGTCACCTAGACACTGCATTTTAAAATACTCTCCTCTACCTATGTTTTCATTTGCTGTCAATCCAAGCTTCTGTTACTTCTTTCTCCATAATATGCTCATATCTAATGCTTTTTCTCTAAGCCACGTCCTGTTTTCATTTGTGAAGAACCATAAAATAGACACTTTAAAAATTTTAACCTACCAAGAGTTAACAAATTTCTGGTTTTGGCACTACTAGTGTTTGAATTCAAAGTCTTAGCCTTGTTAGATGGGCACTAAAACACCTGAGCAATACCTCCAGCCTGGAGTCAACAAATTTAAAGAAAAAGTATTATCATCAAGAACTACTTATATGAGAAAATGTGAAAGGCAATAAATTTTTAATTAGCTTACATTAGTTATACAGAAGGAATTTCATTGTTATGTAAAGGCAATGATTTCTATTAGCGTATTCATTACCAAATATGTCTGAGTAATGACATGAAGAATCATTAGAAAGGGCCTGTATATAAGATGCATATATAAATTTAAATATTTAAATAACTGCTTTCTACGGGATTAAATAATCAATAGACCACTTCCTATAGATAAATCAGCTCCTGTCAAAGCCAGCTCTTATGTACAGGAAACAATGAAACTAGACATTCAGGCTGGGATAATTTAGGGTTAGAAAACTCCCTGATGGAATAGATGTCATCATTTCCTCTTCCAAAGTCATGAGTCCTCTCTCCTCTTACCTCTCCCTCTTCCTTTCTCGTCCGTCCCCCCCCCCATGAGTGCTATCCCTGAGCCTCTTTGTGCTCAAGGCTAACACTCTACTACTTGAATAGATATCACCATTTCCACTGCAAAGTCATGAATCCTCTCTTTCCCTCCCTCCTCCCCCCTCCCCCGCCTCCCTAGCATGAGTGCTATCCCCATGGCACCACTTCCAGGTTTTTCTGTGTAGTTTATTGGAAATAAGAGTTTCACAGATTTTCCTGATTGAGCTAGCCCTGCCTGAGCTAGCTTTGAGTCACTATCCTAAGATCTCAACCTCCTGAGTAGCTAGGATTACAAGCACAAGCCATCAATGCCCAGTTTCCAGCCCGCTCTCGAAACTCTGCATCCAACTTTGTCTAAATTCTTAAGCCCAAACTTCTAATGGCACTGAGAGTTACAACTTTACTGGTTTAGTTACCTTTTAGATTTTCTCTCCACCAACTAGCTCCACTGAACAGAATGACCCAAAACACAATGTATTCGCCTCCATCATGATTCTCAATGAAAGGAACTTGGGAGGAATGACCTCAAACCCACCCATCACCATCATCATTAAAAAGACTGGCACCCAGCTAACATCCTGCCAGCCCCATACTTACAGACTCTCCAGATGGATAGTTCCAGTCAAATTGGGGAATTTCTGTACCATGCTTGCACCTCGAATGACTCTTTAGGAAATTGGGAGAAAAGAAGTGATTTTAAATTAACTTTTTTTCATACATAAATTTTCCATTTCATTTTCCAGACATTTTGAAATTATAGTATTACTGTACCTAAAAGATCACCTAATTTGACCTCTTGAAAGTACTTGAAAACATATTTGGTCAAATGTTCACATAAATAAGAAACATGGTAAATTTTCAGTCATCTTTTGGACTTTTGCCCAAGAACAGAAAAAGAAAAAAAAATCTATTTTCTGAAGACATAATACATTCTTGTTTTCCATTAGGAAATATTCAGGTATGTTTTTAAGCTTGCATAATACTTACAAGGAATGCAGATCAGATAGATTGTGAAATGCTGAGTTCCCCACAAAAGACAGAGGATTGTCATACAAATGTCTGAAAAAAATACAAAAAAAAAAGAAAAGAAAAGAAAAAAGGAGAGAAAGTTTTTGTTTTTGCCAGTCCTTTACTATAAAATCAATGTCTACACTTTGGCTATATCTAAAGCCCAAATTTTCATTTACATTAATGTTTGGCCTTGTGAAGAGGGGGTTTACATGATAATATATTAAAAGAAACTTTCAAGAATACTTACATAGTTCTTAAGAGTGGATTGCCACCAAATGCTCCATCAGGGATAACAGAAATAGAATTACTATGAAATCCCCTGGAATGACAAAATAGTATTTTGAAATGCATATCCTCTGTAAAGTAAGATAAGTTAAAACCTGAGTATCTACTGTTGTTCAACATTATACAAAACATGACTAATAACAACTACATAAACATTTTCAAAAATGTGGAGCTTTCTGGCGTACACTTGATTTTTTTTTATTGTGAAAATACCGTACAGAGGGGCTACAATTACATGAGCAAGATGATGAGTACATTTCTTATCAAGCATTGTTGCCTCCTCCTTTGTTTCCCTTTCCCACCTCTCCCCCCATCATCCCCCCTCCCCCAACACACTTCTTCACCTGCAACTAATGGGTCCCTCCTATGCATTTATCTTCTGTGTCATCAGCAGAGAACTTTGTAGCATGGGAATATTAGGTATTCTGGTCCCTAAATCTCTCTCACTGTGTTCTCCTTTTTGTCTTTAGGCAATAGATGAACTACTAGCTGTCAGCTCATGACATACAATATCTGTTATGTCATGTACATTCCTGTCTTTGCCTGTGATAAATGCAATATTCAACACTGTCCCTTGTATCTTCCATTTATTTTATTTTTTCCATGTTTTCCAGTCACATCAAACTCCTTCCCTTTAAGTAATGAACTTCTCAATGACTCAAAGCCAGAATGAAAATTTTCTGGAATGATTTATTTATTTTATTCATTCAACACTTATTTCTACAAGCAACAGCTATTGGTCTATATTCCTGGACTGCCTTCCCAATGAGACTGAGACTATAAGCTCCTTTCAAGTCAAGACTGGACAGCATGCCTTTTTACTTCAGTAGCATCTAACACTATGCTAAGAACTATGAACAAACTAGCACACAATCTGACAGTGAAGGATCACCTTCTATGTGTGTATATAGATATTATGTCTGTCTATGTATGTTATGTACAACTGCAATAGGAGGAAGATGTAGGATGTCATCCTTGCAACAAAAAATGGTCACTTCTAGGAATAATGGTATTTAAGAGGATAGAGCAATACTTACAACTCTTTTAGGCTAGGAAGAGCTTTAATAGCCTGAGGAAATTCCTCCAAGTTATTATAATTCAAGTCCCTGGGGCAAAATAAAGGAGGAAAATATAAGAATACAGAATAGTATGTCACAGTTCATAAAACCATTGGGTACAAATGCATGCTAACAGATCATCCCTGTAGTTAGTAAACTTTCCTTACCAACCACACTGTCATTCAAAACCCAGCAGGAGTTTAATTAAATTTACAGCTTTTAAAACACTGAACAGAAAAATAAATTCCATGCCTTTCTCTATGATGTTTTTAGGTCAACAAGTTTACAAATTCAAAGAATTCTGAGAATTGCATACCACTGGAGGATGAAATAAACACATTTTCTGAATAGTACTTCTCATAAAAATTCACCAGAAAACAGAATTTATTGATGATGACAGTAACGAGAAACTGAGGCTTCCATTTGGAGTTCAGAAAAGCTTCCTGACTAACTAATCTGAAGGTGGCTGACTTCAGTTCCATCATTAGCAGGAAAATGAGGAAAAGCTACTCAAGAGACTAAATAAAAAACATTTTTTGAGAATAGATAAATCTTTGCAAATTGAGTTGCTTTTTAATACGTATTTTGGGAAGGAAAGAACATGATGCTCACACTTAGGTATAATTTTTAATAACTAAACCTGAATGGTTGTTCAAAACTGGCTTATTTGCTGGCAAGCATTTAATTATGCTTTAAAGCAAATTGAGATGAATTCAAGAACAAAAGACTTTTCCTTTTTTGGCAGTAAAAAAATTCCCACTGTTAATACCACAATGGAATGACTTAAGTATACTTACAATGTCTCCAGGTTATCTAGTCCATCAAAACAGTGATGACTCAATCTTTTAATTTTATTGTTATGAAGATGCCTATGGAAAAAAGCACCAAAATATATTAAGCATATTTCAATAGCAACTATAATTGTTTAGTATGTTTAAATTGGTGTGCGTTAAAGGAATGGTGTAGCTACACCGTTCAACACTGACTATGGAGCACAGACTCAATGGGCACAGAATACATATAGAAAGGGAAGAAGCCCCACCCCAATCCCATGGAAATGAAATACACTTTGATTAACTTTTCATTTATATGAAACAAAACTTTGTTGAGCTCTCCTATGGGAAGAATAATATGGAACAAGTCTATGAGTTTATATCAGTGGGATTGAAAGCAGATTTTTAAAAGCAAGACCACTTTACTCTGTCCAAATTTTGAAAGCTTAAAAGCAGAAAATCATATATTCTCTGAAGAAAAGCAAGAAATATCCTTGGAATTTATTTCTGTAAGTGTCTCAAAATGGTTTTGCTTCTTTAAACGTTGTATAAACAAATCCATTCCTAGGACACAAGAAAAATCTGTATGAGTGTTTGGTGAATGATCTAATTTTTTTCCTCTCATGATATAAATGACCATTTATTTTAGGGAGACTCACTACTCAACAGATATTATCTTTTGTTTAAAATTCTCCCAATTCATACTTTCATCAAAGCCCTGCAAGGGTGGCTCACACTTGTAAGCTGAAAACTGATCTGAGTTCAAACCCAGCCTGGTTAAAAAAGCTCATGAGACGCCTATCTCCAATTAACCAGTAAAAACCTTGAACTGGAGCTGTGGCTAAAGTGATAGAGTAGTGCTAGCTTTCAAAAGTCAAGCAAGAGCACAAGGCCCAGAGTTCAAGCCCCCGGTGGCAACTCCAAAAAAAATTAAAAATGTTTAAAAATGTTTTAAAAGTCAGAATGTTCATTTAATCTTGTTCAGAAGTAGGATTAGTGAGGTGCTTTCATAGTAATTCATCACAAGAAATCCATTAACACACACAGAAGTTACATCAAGTTAACATTCAGATTACTCACAAAACCACCAGGCTTGAAAGATTGGTGAATGCAAAGTCGGGAATGCTGGAGATTTTGTTGAGAGCCAAGGTCAATGCCTGAAGAGTTGGCAGGTTGCTGAGGGGATGTACGGGGACCTCTGTCAAACTGTTGTCATCCAGCCACAGATGCCGTAACTGAACGAGCCCTTCAAAGCTGTCCTCGGGGACTGAGGTAATATGGTTGGCATCTAAACGCCTGAGAGGAAGGAACAGACACAGCCTCACTCAGTAAGGAATTCTGGTGGAATGAGTCAATCGAGTCATACCATTCTCAGAGCTTTGAAAACAAAAAGGAGTTATAAACTGACCAGAACCACAACATCCCTTCTTTCTTTCCTAGAAGGCCACATTAAATCTAACAACTGTCCAAGACTGTTACATGAAAGTAAGTCATTTCTCTCACCTCTTTTTTAATAAAAGGGATATATCTGAATTTCCAATCTTACAACTGTCATTGGTTAAAGAAGTAAAACTCTTTTGGTTTTATTTCTCTTTGGTTAAAGAAGAAAGCTCTCTCAAAACTCAAACTGGAACTTTGTATTTCACAGTGTACCTACCAAAGATACAAAAAAAAAAAAAAGCAAGAAGAAAATCTAAGCAGAGGTTAAATACAGTACTTGATTTCCAGTGTCACATTATGCCTGATATTTCATGATAAATTTAATTGCTGGGTCTGGGAAGATAGCTCAGTGGTAGAGCGCTTGCCTTGCATGCCTAAGGCCCTAGGTTTGATTCCTCAGCACCATATAAGCAAAAAGAAAAAAGCCAGAAGTGGCACTGTGGCTCAAGTGGTAGAGCACTAGCCTTGAGCTGAAGAGCTGAGGGGCCCAGAGTTTAGGCCCCACGACGGGATCCAAAAAAAAAATTGTTTTTTAATTGCTACTCTGATTTGGTACCACAAAAAAAGAAAATGAGAAAATACTTACAAGTGTTTAATAGCAGTGAACCATTTTCAGTGGATTCTCAACTGCCCTTATACCAACAAATTAAAACTTTGTTTCAGTTTGTACAAAGCAAACTGCTCTTGTCATTATTCTCAAAAATGTAGTTTGCCAAAATTAACAGTTGTTAAGTAAAAGGCAACTTGTCCATAGGAAAAAAACTAATAACTATTCCAATCAAAGTTAGTGTGGCTTTAAAGCTTCTTCATTTTTTCCAAAAGAATTTGGAATTAAGGAACACCTTATTAGTAGGATTATTCATACTTAGTTTTAAGTTCCCATCTGAAAAATCTGGAAACTAAGTCCTAAGATTTATTGTTGGCAAAACCAAGTGTAATTAGAATAATCACTTTTCAACAAAAAGACAACTGGGATGATTATAATGAAGGAAAGTATGTGTTAGGCAAATCACAATGTTCCTCACTGAATCCTTTGTTGACAATTGACACATATATTCATGCCTTACAGTCTTACCTTTAGGGACCAGGGTGGAAAATATTAAAAAAAAAAACAAAACACCTCACAGTATGGGTCTGTTTTTAAAGAAATGGAGTTTGGGAACTTTCTTACACTGCTTATTTATTTATTGTTGTGCTAGGGATTGAACTCTGGGTCGCAGGTATGCTAAGCAAGTGTTGTACTACTGAGCTAGTAAATCCTAAACTTTAACTTTGCCAAATTCCTTCCTTCCTTCCTTCCTTTCCTCCCTCCCTCCCTCCCTCCCTCCCTCCTTCCTTCCTTCCTTCCTTCCTGTTTACTTGCTATACTGGGTTTTCAACTCAGGGCCTATGTTTGTTAGGTAAATGCTCTATCACTTGAGCCACATCCCAATCTCTCCAGTTTTCTGAAATTCAACTTCAGTTCCTGCCATACTCGTTCCTTTCCTTGCCTGGCAAGTTCTGGGCTCCTGCTCCCAACTAACTGTCTCCAACTCCAAAAATCATTCTTCTTTCTAGAGGCAAACTTGCAAGGATGAAGGACAGTTGTCTGGAAAGTGTCTATCTGATGGACACCTTCTTTCAGATAGAGTCAAGATAACTGAAAGAATGTTTTAAAAAGGGGGAAGAGGGGAACTGGGCAGCTGCCTCAAGAATCCACCAAGCAACAAACATTTCTAGACTTCTTTGGGCTTTCCACAATTTATCCCTGGGCTGAGGAGGGGGAAACTAGTATCTTCTATATAATAGACTGGCAAAATACTGGCTACAGAACTGTTTAGGAGATTTGCTATAATGAAGAGATAGGAATGTGTTCAAACACAGAGATATAATTCACACTCTCCTGGAATTTCCATTCCTAGTTAGAGACACCAAACATATAATCATACAAATTAACCATATAATGTAACTAAATTGTGTTTGTAGATAATTTGATAATCTGCCATTCATTCAATTTAAACAAGCCTCTTAGGCTCAGGGGATAAAATAGTGAATACACAGGAATAAAGACTGTCCTCATGAGACTGACATTCTGGGGGCCAAGTGGGGGCCATGCAGTATAATAAACAAGTTACAAAATAACAAAAGAGTGACTGGAACTTGCCACCAAATAAATAAACAGGAAACAGATAAACATTGATGGATACTCAAGAGATAGTAGTTACTTAAAATTCACTTGGTCGGGAAAAGCATCTGCAAGAAGTTATTTAGGTGGATGCTGGTGGCTTACACTTGTAATCCTAGCTAAACAGGAATCTAAGATCTGGAGGAACAAGGTTTGAAACCAGCCTGGACACACAAGTCTGTAAGACTCCATTTCCAAAACAACCAGCAGGAAGGCTGTTTGGAGGCATGGTTCAAGTGGTACATCATTGGCTGTGAGCAGGAATGAGCCAAATTAGTGTGCGATCCTAAGTTCAAGTCCCATGACCTACGAAAAGAGTTGGTGATATTTAAACTGAAACCTAAAGAATGAACAAGAACGGGCTGGGAATGTGGCTTAGTGGTAGAGTGCTTGCCTAGCATGCATGAAGCCCTGGGTTCGATTCCTCAGTACCACATACACAGAAAAAGCCAGAAGTGGTACTGTGTGCTAGCCTTGAGCAAAAGATCATAGACAATGCCCAGGCCTGAGTTCAAGTCCCAGGACTGGCCAAAAAAAAAAAAAAAAAGAATGAACAAGAACAAGTAGAAGCAGGAGCTGGGCAAGGAGTGTTTTAGGCAAAGATCAAGGATGGAGAAGCATAAATCACCTTGGCGAGATCTAGAAAGAAAGGAAGGAAGGAAGGAAGGAAGGAAGGAAGGAAGGAAGGAAAAAGCTGAAGGTCTGGAGAGACACTGATGTATGCAAGTTGAGTTGATTATGGAAGCCCTTGTAGACCAGGTAATAACAAAATTGAAGATCCTCCTCAGTTTCCCAATGTCACTTGCTTATTTTAGCATAATAATGAATTTGTAGAGAATAAAAGAATCTGCAATAGACTTCCAAGTGCACATACTCTAAGTACTCCATTATCTCATTACAATACAGTAAAATACTTATAAACTGTTCCATTAATATACAATAAAATACTGTAAAGTATTATTATATACACTAGCTAGTTCCTGTTAATTCTATGCTGTATACTATCAAACAGAAGGGATAACCTTAAAGTAAGATAACCAGGTGAGTTTTAAGCTAAAAACCAATGAACTTAAGAGCAATACAATAAAAACACAGAAACACTTTCTGCTGTATTAAAACTGTAAAAAGTTTACAGGCAAAAACTATGGAAAATGGAAGGTGTAAAAGGATGAACTATAGAAAAAAAATGAACCCTTAAGTTAGAAGCTAACTATGAAAAAAGGATTGTGGTGACTAAAATGGCTAACCACTATACCTAATTCACTTGTGGGTATTGAAGACACATTCATATATGTAAAATTTGTATTCACACAGAGACCAATCAATGCTTTAGGGAAAATGATCATAGCATTCTAGGACTCAAAAGTGGCTTGTACCTATAATCCTAGACACTTAGGAGTCAGATCTGAAGACTGCAGTTTGAAGCCAGCTCAAAAAGTCAAGTCCATGGGACAGTTCTTTGAAATCAGTTCAGGTAGGAAAGTCCTTGAAACTTTAACTCCAATAATCTCCAATTAACCACCAAAAGCTCCAGCCTTAAGCAAAAAAAGCTAAGGGACAAGCTCTGAGTTCAAGTCCAGTACTGGCAAGAAAGAGGAAAGCAAGCAAGCAAGCAAGCAAGGAAGGGAGGGAGGGAGAAAGAGAAAAAGAAAATGAGAAAGGGAGAAGAGGAGAGGAGAGGGGAGGAGAAGTGGGGAGGGGAGAAGAAGGGAGGGGGAGAGGAGAAGAATGTTGCTTTGTACCAACAACCTACACTGTTAACATTCATACCAGGAAAATGGTACAATTGACTGGTTTTTATTAGTTGCTACATAGCGTCATGTCTCACAAAGTGGAGTGATAATGTAGGTTTCTTCAAATTATTTTACTATTAAAACTCCATATGACAAGAAATAGCTATTACTTTTAAGTGCAATTTAATTGCTAAAAGGTTACCCATATTTTTTGTCTTGAAAATATTCTTTATTTCTCTTTTCTCAAGAATCTATTTAATATCTAAGGCTCACATTTCTTAAATATTTGTCTTAAAAAATCATAGCTGCAAAATATTACTATATGTAGTTTTAGTGTCAAACGTCTATGCTACCAATAAGTGTGTACTCAAAAACTTTCTCTGATTTACCTATAATGAAAGTATAGTTATAAATGTTTTTAAAGTACTGGGGAAAATTTAGGACACTTAACCTTTGAGATTCTTTAATAGGCATTGTAAATGTGATCTAAAATATGCAAAAACTTTTGTGGAGATTCTTGGGATATGCCATTTTAACATCCTGCTTAGATAATGCTTCTGCCATTTTCATAGGCTTGTGAGAAGCTGTTACGCTTCCTGTTTATTAAATACAGACAATTCACCATCAGATTTTATAGTCATTCTCAAGCACATACTAGCATCAAACCACTTCTGATCAATTTCAACTCCAATGGACTTTGCTCCTTCTAAGCACCATTCAAAACCACAGAGAACTTTCTCTTGTAATTCGGGTCTGAAGATCAGATTTTCAAATTGACTCAAGTGCTGATAAGACTGTTTTATACCAGGACAGAATTTCAATTCTATCTAACTTGATCACTACACCCACTAAGCTAACAAACTCCTTCTTCTATAGCACCTCCTTGAGTTTCTGCTACACATATAAACAGATAAATACTTTCAAAAGATAAAAGAAAACTTGTTTTCTTAGTCTCATCTAAACTCTCATCATAATTTTGAAGACAATTTAAAGATTTAATGAATGATGAGCACAATATGGGGGGTGGGGGGAAACCTCTCTATTTTTTTTCTGTGGGAAAACAACACTTTAAATATACTAATAAATACTACATGTACTCTAATGTATTTACTGGCCACAAATTAGAAAAATTATTTATATGTTTTTCCTGGGAATTTTTCTACTCTATACTTGAAAATAAGATTTTAGTCTTTCTAGCAGAACTGTGGCTCAAAGTGGTAGAGTACTAATCTTGATTGAAAGAGCTTAGGGACTGGGCCCAGGCCCTGAGTTCAAGCCCCATGACTGATCTAGTACTGAAACTAGATCAAATGATTAAGTATTCTGATTATTATATATGGGGAAATAACAATTCAATGTAGAGATCCTAAAGGAAAATAAATTCTGAAGAAGTAAAAAAAATTATTTACAAAATTTTTTACAATTTTGAATGTGAATAGGCACCAGTAGCTCATGTCTGCAATCCTAGCTACTCCAGAGACTGGGATCTGAGGGTGGAGGTTTAAAGCCAGCCTGGGCAGGAAAGTCTGTGAGACTCTTATCTCCAATTAAACAGCTACAAATGTGACTCAAGTTGTAGAGAGTCAGCCTTGAGTGAAAAAGCTAAAGGGCAACACCCACTCCCTGAGTTCAAGCTCCAGTCCTAGAACAAAAAGAATGAATGAATAAATTAATAAATAAAACAAAGAATTCTAGCCCAAGGGAGATTAGATCTCTCCCTCATGTACATCATCCTGAGGTGAGAGAGAATATAGACTCACCAAAATAGTATCTCTGTAAAGAAGCTCATACTGTACTTCTCATCTGAATAGTCTACTTTCTGTAAAATCAGAGGTGATGATATCCTTATATTCTGTAACTGACTATTTTTATGAAAATTTGAACTAGAAATTGGAAGGCCAACTCCTTGTTTATGGCAGAATGTAACATTAAACTTTTACAGTAGGTTAGCCTGCAACTTCAGTCTCACATTCACTTCGTATTAATTACTACTACATTAATTAGAATTCTAAGACAAATCTATCTAGTTTTGAATCACTAATCCACCTTGGAGTTGTCTGATGTTGGACAAGTTCTTTAAAACTCTCCCTTCAGGGTGATATGGTCTGAAAAGAAATGTATTCTTTACTTCACTTATGTAACTATAACCCCTCTGAACATCACCTTCATAATAACAAGTTTTAAATTAACAAAAAAATTTAAACCCTCCCCCTTCATTCATTTTTCTCATCACCCATCAAGAATACAGAATCGATTTATAAAAAGGTAAATTATTTGTAGAAAAAATGCAGAAACAAATAAAGAGGTATTTGGAAAGATTTTTAATTCTGAAAATATTGTACAAATGTTTTTTTTTCTTTCATGCATTTGTTTCTAAAGCCTTTATAAGATTATTTCTTTGTTGCTTTGTATGTCCTTCCCCCACAGTATAACCCCTGCTTTCACTGTATTTGATGTCGGTATAATTTGTGGAGGGGAAGGGGAAAAACAAGTCGTTTAAATAAGGATACAGGTGGACCCGTTGCAACAATGGAAAGTTGTTTTTTTTTTTAACATTAATGACTATACATGATTGAAAGTGTTACAACCATAAACATGCCACATAAAACCAATTTTTTTTCAAAACAGAAAAATCTGGGAGGAGGCAGCCCAAGTAACTAAAGTATTACCACCAAAGTATATTTGATGTCCACGAGTAAAAAAATTATAGTCATTTGCTCTAATCATTATGACCACTTGAAAAGAAACCTCTTTAAGCCTGTCAGAGTAGAAAACACTAGTACTTCAGTAAACATTAAACTCTAGTTCCAAGAGATGGGATCATCAGTCACACTGCACGTTCATGGAAGTAAACACAACATACATGGACTTTTCTCCTAGCCTCAGAGGTAAGAAAGAAGGCCAACTGGCCTTTCCTTCAACAGAGAATCATACTTTGTTAATAACCACTGGCCATTCTCCTTTTTATTCTAGGTGAGCACACAGACCTCCCCTTCCCCTAGTATTCTCATTCTTTACTCATTTAGCAGCCAGAGCAGCCTCCACATGATTCAAGGATTACAGAAGACTTAAAAGTTACTTACAGAGACTGCAAAGCACTCAGTCCACGAATGGCTTCACTGGGTACTGTTTTCAATTGATTATTCTGGAGAGTTCTGGAAGGAAATTTTCAGTTAGTGATTAATAAGCAATTTTTATCTTAAAAGAATTTGGAGCCATTACTTCCCCTCCTCCATTCTCAAAAAAAGTAAGAAGCATCTGAGATGAAGTCTTAACTGAAACTTCTGCTACTATTCTAAGCCACCTCTAAAACACACCTGCTAGGTAACTTTCATTTCCAGCAGTTGTTTCATTCCTGGGAACTAAGACACCTTAGCTAATGTTCAAAAGTTTAGGCACTAGTTAATGTTATTGGAGGCATAAAAAATTATAACTGGGAATTGTAATAAGCAAATCCACATGAATACCTAATACCTTTTCCAACTGGAATTAAAGAAACCTGGCCGTTAGATAAAGCTTATTTTGCCAGGAGGAAAGAACCTTTGCTCTTAGGGAGAATCAGACACATCTGCATATAGGACCCACACAAAAACTGAGCCCTTATCATCTAAGGGTGATGGCCTGGAGAAAAGAGGCAGAGATTCCTATTGAATATGGAATTCTTTTAATTTCTGCCTAATACCATTTCTGTCACTTTAAAGAAATGACAGTCTGACACAAATCATAACCCAGGCAATGGAAGAGGCAGGGGCCTACCAAGCTTACCAAACTAAAGTACCTTGCTCAGGTTGTGAACAATGTGAAAAGTAGATGCAGTCACTTCACCTGTTTCTCAGTTTCCTACACTCCAAGCTCTGCCAGGAATTTATTTCCTGATCCTTCCCCAGCTACATAAATCATGGGCATAGCAATTCCTTCAGCTCTAAAAATGCTTTTAACATTTGAAGCTCTTATAAGCTCTTATCCCTTTTGGGTTAACTAATCCAAAGTTCTAGTAGCTATAAAATAAGTAGAAATAAAACCCAACCAGTAGAGCTTAAATATGGTTTTGATTTAATGCATTAGCTTCACAAAAAGCCTAATATACAACTGTAATAGCCTAAAGGTCAGAATGCCTCCTATTTAGTTTTAACTTTTTTTATCTAGACCCACGGTTGTCTAAATCAACCTCTAGCCTCCCACACTACTCATTGGCCACCCCTTATATCTTTTAATCCTGAACTGAAAAAATCTGTGCTTAACCTAGGTCCAAGCATGTCTACTTTGTAGAAAGAAAATACACAGCCAGCTGTGAAACTCTAAAATTGCATTACTTACAGAACTTTGAGTTCTTTCAAACCAGACAAGGCCTTTGGATGGATAAAAGAAAGGTCGTTGCCAGCCAATTGTCTAGAAAAAAAAAGTAGCAAGAGAGAAAAAAGAAGTAGTAATTCAGACTTAAACTTCACAGCGTACTATAACCTAATCTATGATTAAAACTCTATCTTAACATTTCGCAAGTCTATGTGACATTAAACATGGACTTCAACCTTTGCTAAAACAATTTCAAGATTCTTCCAATAAGATAAGCATTTCTAGCATTAAAAAAAAAACTTTCCATACAGTAATTTAAGCAGACACATTTTTATTCTGGTGAGGTCAAGCAAGCCAAAACACATTAAGCCAAATTAAGTTTGCTATTCATGGTCATTCTGCAGCTTGCAATGTTGTCCAAGGGCCTCATAAAATGCAGACTACTAGTCAGCAGGCAGAAATGTTTGTTCAGATCACAGCAAACCAGTCTGTCAAGAGAGAATGTCTGGGGAGGTAAGGCAGCTTGATATCTCAGCATAACCCAGGGTAACATATTTCAGGGGCAAAAAAGGGGGAGTCATTAGAGGTATAACTTTCCCAATAAAGGCCTACATATACTTCATACTTTTAAAGACAATGGTTTCCTAAAACAATTTTACAACAGCAAACTTAATGGGGATAAGAGTGATGTATGGAAAGAGAATTCATTCTTTAGGTCCTTTTGTAAGAAATCTGAGCACACAATTCACTTTCCCTCCCATCTCCCATTCAGTGATAACTGAAATGAGAAGAGTAAGACAGAAGAAAAGGCAGGGACAGGGTAAGAATGCATAAAAGTCACTTGTGAACTGAAAGACAATTTTCAAGTATGCACTAGAAAATAATAGCTATGTATCCTCATGATAAAAATTCAGTACCCTCTTGCTTCTGGTTTTGTCCAGGTTATGTCCCTGAAGCAGCTATAGACTATAACTTTTTTAAACCCCACATTAAAAAAAAAAAAAGATGCTAAAGATAGAGAGGCAGTGAAATGACTCCAAGATCAAAAAGGTGGGTATGCTGAGTGATTTCTTCCCAGTGCATGGGTAAATGCTAGATTCTCAGGCAGCACAAGTTTAACATAGGGTTCATGCACCTCAATTTCCCATGTACTTTGCTTCTTCTTCACAAGGCATTTTAACACTCTTTATTGTGTGCTTTTCAAGGATTCTCATAATTTAGATTTCCTAACACCTAACTTGGTAGCACCCTCAGTCTTATTAATGCCACTTTAAATGAAGATCAGGCCTGAAGAATTTCTGAGCTGACAAAGCCATTAGGTCGCTAAGTGACCCAAACCTTTCAAATATCAGTAAGACTTGATTTCCTGATTTATATTTCTTGGAAAGTCCTGTATTGAAGAGAAACAGAGTTTAATCAACCAATCAGAAACAGCAACAAACTTATAAGGCAACTGTCTATCTGTAGCTAATTAAACTAGTTGCTTTGCTTTGCTTTTGTATTGGTCCAACAGAAGCTCTTCTCTTACATTTCGCTGGTGGAACTACAAAACAAGTTCTGGTTGGGGGCTGCCCAATTCATGAATTGATGTTTGTTCAAATAAACTTTTAAAAATCTGACTGTGTAAGCCAGACATGGTGGTAAATGCCCATAATCCTAGCACATGGAATTACCTAAAGCATGAGGGTTGTGACTACAAGGTGAGACTGGACTATATATTAGTCATAAAGACATACACTCATAAATATTGCTGGGCTTCAGTTTACTTTTTTTTTTTTAACTTCCATGGCCTTATATCCCTCAGAGTTCACTATATGTAAAGTGAAGTGTTGAAGATGACAGTTTTCAGGCCTGACTGCTTCCACTTTAAAAAATATTTCTTTTTGATAAATCACATTTCTTAAATGCTTCATCTTGCAGCATCATTTTCATCCCTTAAATATTCACTGAAGAGTTCATTTCTTTCCAACATGCACCTTGTGCATGAATACTTGTGGCACATAATTAAATTTGGTTGCAGGTTATCTTCTATTAGTTGTTTCTTAAGTGTGGGTCTTGCAGTATAAGTACAAATGTTTCTAGGAACAGAGCACACATCTCACATTCTATACCACCAATCAATGTCTGCTTTCTCCTAAATTCCTGTAGGAAAATGTTCACCATGCACTTGGTGCAGCATCCCTGGTCTGCTTGAATATAAGCTTGGTATAAGCACTTTTCAGGGTGTTCTGTGTCCCAAGCTTGTTCATTACCTTCAACAAAGGGTAACCACAGCTACAGTGCAAAGTGTTTCAAGGTCACCTTTCAAAAGATCAATCTGCTCCATGAGGGCCTAGAAAGGCAGTAGCCATCTTCCCTCCGTCAACTCAAATAGTCATGTGACTCCTTTCTCCCTGACTGTCTGTAAATCCAGTGTTAGAAAAGCTAATATGTTTTAAATGTCTTTGCATCTATCAGTGTTCCTTGATGTGTTCTGTATATTGGGCTGAGATTGTGAAAAAGAGTATTTTATAAAGTAACAAAGAAGGTGGCAAAAAACAGAACACTTGGTTATCTTAACTTGTCAGCAAAAGAGAGTGTTTAACCACATTAGCCAAAATATTTTCTTCCTTTTCCCAAATCTCTGCCCCTCTAGAAACCATGGGAAAACTAAAAGTAACCTAACTTCAAAAAGCATTCTCTTTCTCTTCTACTTATCATTAATATAAATGACAAAATGAGCTCCCTGCATGAGGCTTATCCTGAAACACAAGCCAACTATCTGGAGAAATAAACATTCCTAGTATGTGGTGGATGGTGATAATGCTACATGAGAGGACACACTACTTTGATTATTACTTGGTTTCTTACTAGAGTAAAGATATCATGTGGAGCCTTGGGGAATGGATATACCTAAGTTCACCATGCTGCTGGGCTTCCAGAAGGCTCCAGCAATTACATTCTTCAGAGCCTTTTCTTATTTTGCTCTTTTATTTTTTTCTTATAAAGCAGTAATACAGCAGATCTGGGGCATGCTTTGGGCCTAAATCTGTGCATCCAAAAAAGAGCAAAGTGAATAAATAGCAGGGCTAACATATAGCTATCAATTAACAGATCACATATAGACATTTGAGTACCTGAGAGGTTAGCTGACTTAGCTAAGCTTTAAGTCACACAACCAAGACTTTAATTCTTGCCTGGCTGGCTACAATGTTTATCATTTTCCTCTTGACCTGTGATTCCTCTGGGGTGTCACCAAAAGATTAGGAAATAATTCCCAGAAAGGAAAGATGGAGCAAAGCAGATCTGGAAAAGGTATAACCTTGTTTGAATATTAATACCTCTCACCCAGCAGCCCAAAGCTAACAAGGCCTGTCTATGCACTAATAGCAGACACATTAGCCAAAATTATGAAGAAATTCCCAACAGATCAACAGTACACCCTCCCCACAGCTGCAGATAACTTGAGGCAAAGGCTGAAAAAGGAATCAGCCTTTTTTACTTGATCTTGTACCAGGACTCTGCTTACAGTTTAGAGCATTTAGTGGGGAAGGAAGGGATAGAGGGTGTGTGTGTGTGTGTGTGTGTGTGTGTGTGTGTGTGTGTGTGTGTGTATGTGTAAGCACATTCCAAGGGGGGAAAATGGTATAAGAAGTGCCAGTAAAGAAAGCACTTCACATTTCATGTCTAGGTTTGTACTTCAGTGCCATCAACCTCAGAAAACCTTTTTCTACTATGCATGTGTGTTTGTATATATTTATGTATGTATATATGTATGTATGTGTGGATGTATAATTTAGAATTCTCCCAATAGCAACTAATCCCAAAGAGGAAAAAAAACCAAAGGGTAAGAATCGAAGGAAGAAAGTTCTATCTTTCTTATATATCTATATATATATGTCTATATATCCAGTAGATAGTCCCAGACATTCCTTTGTCCCTCTGCACCTGTCTCCAAAGAGCATAGGAAGAGTCACTCTGTAAGTCTTCGATCTATTCACTCTTATTCTTTTTGTTGTTACCTGAGTGTAGGCCCCATTTTTTTTTCTCACCTGGATTACTGCCATGAACTCCCACGGAACTCCTGCCTCAAACCACTTAATTATAATACTCTGAGATCCAAATCTTTAAAAAGTACAACTCTGAGCATTATTCCCAAAGGCTCATTTTTCCCCTGGTGAATTTGCTGGACCTACAAGTACAACCTTATTATTTTCCACCTTAATTCTGCGGGCCCTGTCTTCTACACCCGAGCACTGTTATATGTCCAAGCATACCAGGCTTTCTCCACTCCTGACTCTGCTCACCTCTTTTTTCTTCACCTGAAATACCCCTCCTCTAGCCTCTGCCAACTGGAACATAGTTCAGACTGCCCAAGTTGGATAATACTACCACTATAAAACCATTTTGATATCACCTTCCTTTGATTCCATTGGCACCTGAGATAAAACTTTCTCACTGACTACATCTTAGTTTTCATCACTGGAAGAAATGGGAAGTGCTCTATTTCAATGATCAAGAACTAGGTCTTACTTATTTAGGATGATTTTGTTTAGAATCTTATATGCAGCAGAAACTTATGTTAGCTACAATGCCTCAGCTGAGCTCCAATATATAATGTGATTTGAAAATGTAACTCTGCTCAAGAGTGGAAAACTTTTCTAGTTTCCCTTTTCTATATACTTTCTCTCTTTCATTTGAACTCTTTCACTTCCCTTTATATGCTTTATAGAGAAAAGCTACTTGCCTGCTCTTGAGTGCCAAGGAACAACTGTCTTTCTCCACATATTCTGAAAGCATGCATTTTCTTAAACTAGAGGGACAAGGGGCTTAAAATATCAGAACATCTCAGAACATCAGTTCACTGGCCAGAAGTAGTATCTCAATGTACACCATAATGGGCAAATACTCAAAGAGAATTGAAACAAGTCAAAAGGGCTTTGAATAGTGACAAATCTACTTCAAGGTAAATACAACTCATTATGCTTGCTATAATAGTCCCAAAGCAAAGGAAGAAAAGACAGAGAAGAGACCAAAAAAAGTGGAAGAAAGGTAAGTATCAGTCCATTAGACTTCTGCTTGCCTAGTTGTTCTGGAACTGTTCCAGAAGCAGAAAA